TATTGGGTAATACGAGTGTAATGGTGACTAAAGAGTGTTATTTCATGTCTAGAGGGCTCTAATAATTTTAAAACCCGTATTTAGAAGGTCATAAACAGGTTTTCTATGCTCTAACTACGAAAATATTAGATTTATAAATAAAGAATCCTACTTCGCGGAAATTCACTTATCGCGGTAGAGTCTGGAACTGATTAACCGCGATAAACGAGGGCCGAATGTAATCATGTTTTTGGGAGGCCCTCAGATTAGGTGCCCTATGGGCATGCACATACTTCACTTGCCTTAATCTCTCTTGACTGCCATTCGTACTCTATTGTTGAGGGTAGTTTGGACTTCATTCTCTCCAGGATGCACCTGAGCCCAATCGTGTCCTGGGAGTCTTTGGGTTGAGCCTCTATACTACTGAGAGGGACTTATTTCAAATTTTCAAGAAATTTGGACCCATTGAACGAGTTCAAGTTGTGTTGGATGCCCAGGTGAGACAGTACCTTTGTGGAGTTGTTGGTAATTGCTGAACATGCCTTACATTGCATTGTGTTGTTACTTTCAACAAGGTTCCATCAAACATTCAAAGGTCTGGGAAGTAGAAATGGGATCAAGGGGAAATCACTAAAATCACAATATATAAAGGTGTGATAGAGTGTTATTACATGACTTATAGTGCAAAATTGACCTTTCCTGATTTACTCGACACACAAATCATCAGATACTCATCTAAAGCTAGATATCTGCTTATGGGGTATTGAAAAACAATGGCATTCCAAGATACTGATTTATGCATGAAGGGCACAGAGACCTTTCTGTTGCAAGTTTATGTGAAGTGCAGCTTTAAGCCAGTGAATATATCTCAAGAAATACCTCAATAGCATTAATATTAATGAAAGAAATTCTTGACATTTGGGGAAGCCTTGTTTTGTTGGGAGCTTGCAATTGCATGAAACATTTTTTATTAGTAACCCCTGCCTTTTTATGGCTATTGTAAGGCTGTTCTTAAACTTAGTTTTGGATGCTTTTTCTTTCAGTCTGGACGTTCTCGAGGTTTTGCCTTTGTCTATTTTGAGGCCCTTGAAGATGCCAAAGCAGCCAAAGAGGAATGTTGTGGCATGGACATAGATGGTAGGAAGATCAGAGTTGATTATTCCATCACAGCCAGGGCCCACACCCCAACACCTGGAGTATACATGGGCCGTCCAACTGGGTATGTTTCTATTTCAGCCTAATTGGCACAAAGAAGGGGTAAGGCAGAGGACTAAAACAGAGATGGTTTGATTAAATGCTTCCAACGAAGAGTGAACTTAGATCCATTCAACCTTTCTTTTACCCTTTGAGGAGTATGTGTTTAAATACCCACGTGAAAATTTCACATAAGACCATATATGAAATGGCCATATATTAAACCAGTCCAACATATATATGGCATATATGACCATATAGTACAATTCATATATATCATATATGAAACATATATGGGGTTTGACACATGTCACATAAAATCATATAAGAAAGAAAATATATGATCCCATATATTTTCATATATTGGCTCATACAAATGCACCATATACTGTCCATATATGCCATGTCATATCTATGTATGATGAGATTACCTGAAACATGCCTGTATTCAAAAAGGGTCCATAATCCATCAGATACTGTATGATCATATGCAAGCCACCATACCTTACTTGCAATCAACTCATTTTTAATTGTTTATAGACCATAGTCAATTGAGGAGTTCTCTGGAAAAGGGGCGTATGTGCCCATACGCCCTTTTCCCATATCCGCGTCCATGCGCTACTTTATGTGACTAGTCATAGGATAGGGTGGTCAGCAAGTAGTTAACATGTGTATTCAGCAAAGGATAAGCAGATTTTCCTATGCTCTCACTATGTAGCAGGCCAACTGCCTGGCAATTTCAATATGGCTGCCTCCATGAATATTCCATTAGCACTTGCATGCTGAACAATTTTGGTGGGATTATTTCATCCTTTTAAGCTGAAAGTGAAAATGAGGAAGAAACCAGACATGAGGAAAGAGAAAGAAAGAGACCCAGTTGTTCAAGCCTCTGGAAGGATGTGAGAAGAAGAGAAGTGTGAGATATTCATGAAATAGTTGCAGATTCAGATGACGAGTCCATTAATAATGGATCACTGCTGAGTGATTGGTGAATGAAACGTGTCCTTAATATTCACATTTTCATTGCTCTTCTTCAAGAAAGAGTTTATTTGAAATCTGTAGATGCATTTATCGATTAATTATTATTTTTAACTGGAAAGGAGTGGTGAAAGACTAGTTGGAAAAAGTTTCAGCAGTGTGGATATGGAAAAAGGGTGTATGTGCATAAACACTTTCTGCCTGCATCCCAGTAATGTGAGATAAAGAAATTCATTAAAACCTCACGTTTAATTGGAAAAAGGTCTGAGATACCATTTTACAGATAATTAAATTTTAACCAGCTTCAGATTAGTTTGAGAAGTTTTTATCATTTTTCTCAAATTGCATCTTTTGTACATATACCCTTTTTCTAGAGAACTCCTCAATTATTAATAAAGGAAATACAAGTCTCGTATTTGGTGTGAATATTTATGCCCCACCCTGTAATGGAACCTGTTTCTTTATGCCTGTAGAACAAGTTACTGTGTTGCTCCTTTCTGCATTGGCAAGATTTAATTTGGATAGCATGTCTTTTCAACCACCCTTTGCATTTAATTTCCTCCCAAGCTTAAAGACCAGTGTTTTCTTATCTGCAGTACAAGGAAAGCTGCCATGTGGGGATGGATGTGGAGAGAATGATGAAGACAAGGAAGAGGAAGAAGCCCTAATGGGACCCAATCAGAGTGGATTGGAAGTAGATAATGACTCAGAGCATTCTAGTGGGAAAGACAGTGGCACGGGGACTGACAATGACCCTCGGCTGCACATATATTCTCATCACCACCTTTCCCTGCATGACCCTGGTCAGTTCCCCTCCATTCTTGACATTTATTTTCAGTATCTGCATATTGCTACAGAAAATTTCCAGGCTTTTTATGTTGATGAACCTTATATTTTGGCATAAAATGGTTATGGCAACCTTCAGCTCACATTGTCCAGTCCTGTGATCACATCTATTCTGAAATACTTCAAATCAACTCGAACCCTCTCTGAACGATGTGAAACAAACAACTCAATAACACCTGTGCAATGGCTCATATAAATTTTCATTTTTTAAGGTTAAATGAAAAAAAATGAAGAGGTGTTCATGATTTTCAGTGGCAATTACTTCAGTATGAATTCCTCAAAAAATCCTTCAATATGCAATATGAAAGGTTTTTGCACTGATGCACGCAGAGCTGGAGAAAGGGCATGTGGGCACATACGCCCTTTTCCAGGGAACTCCCCAATTAATTGTCAATTCTGCATTTTCACCTCAGCTGCTTTGCAGTTCTCTTATCAATTTGAGTAAGGCTTATATGACAAGGAAACATTTTACTATGAGAGAGAGTTTGCTTTTGTGGAGTTTTATTATTGAGAACATAGTTGGTGGTCATTCAGCTGGGGGTACAAAATAATTTTGCTGTTGGAGAATTTTGCTGCATCTGACTTCATTATTGCAGGATTTCATTGTAAATTAGAATCATTTTTAATTGAAAGAGTTTCTTACATCTCTCTCTCCTCACACCCCACAGATGGGAGCACAGTAAATGTGAGTGATGAAGAGACAAGAGATGTGGAAGATGAAGATGAAGTGAGTGTGAAGAGACCTTTGAGGACATTTGCAGTGAGTGGGGTTGGGCATCGAACACAAAGGCTTCAAATGGGTGTGGGTATGGGTGTGAGTAGCCCTAATTTATCTCGGGTGGACAGTACTGTCGTGTACGCCAATGTGATTCCCACCACAGTTGCTGGCTCCTCTGACTTTCTCTGCCCAGTTGTGATGCGTCACAAGGGAGGGACACTGGGTCGACTCAAAGGCAAACATGTGAAATGTCCCAGCATCCCTGACCCCAGTCGATGATGCCCCCACCCAAATCATTCCCTGCACAGAATCTCGGAGATGTTTTCCCCCTCCTCGTGCTGTGATATCATTCCTCAAAATGGCAAAGCAGTGCCAAATGTCCATTGACATCCCTCAACTGTCCTTTTGATATGTGCTAGTTACACCTATCATGCATGTCATGGTGATGTCTTGGTGTTGTTTGTCACTCTTTGTATTTATTCCAATGTGCATTGCAACTTGTAGCGTACTGAGACAGAAATGTGCATCACCAGTTACTACCTCCCACATTCTTGCATTTACTGAAAATGTATGCTTTCATGGATACCTCTAAATTGAGTGAAAGTTGGCATGATGGAATCACTGTCTTGCTCTATATCTCCTGTGGTATACTGGAATCAAGAAAGATCTATAGAAACATGCCAAGCAATATTTATAATATTGTTCTAGTGTTGACTTTTCCATCTGATTGTGTATGGAGTAGACAGTTAGTGCATCATTTCAATGACATTAGGAAGACACCACTTTTTTTGTGTCTAGGCACTGAAGTTTGGCATCTTTGGAGGTTGCAAATAGCATCCTCATAAGGGTATTCTGAATTGTTAATTTTTTCTTAGTCTGTGATGGCAGCTGCTTTAGCAGAAAGAGCTTTTTGTTTGTCAATTTCACTTGTGTTTTCAAGTAAAGAGGGTTCCTATCCTGTGCCAATGCATCATTTTATTTCTACTGAAGTCAGTAACATGGCTTTCCTGGAAACCCATATGACACAAACAGGAGTATCCTGATACATCATCATCCAGACTGTGTTGGCCCCAAAGTTCGAAGGAAGCAGGAAGTGCTAAGGCTCAGTTTTGCATGGAGTTACACCAAGTGTCTTGGGATAGTCTTGAAAGAAGGTCTCAGGTGCTTGGTAATATGCAATGGATGCAAATCTATGTCTGATATATATAGACGATTGTGACTGACTGACGTTAATTCTAACCATGTTCTAGAAAAGTTAGAAATCTGAAACTTGGTACAGGTGTACCTTTAGGGATGGAGAGTTCAGAAAAAATCAGACTTTGGAGGTACATGCCTTGGGGGTACCCTTTTTGGAGGATATGTTTTCAATGATATACAGTAGCGCTCAAAAGTATTAGCACGATGTGATTTTTCGGCGTAAATCAACTGAACTCTGAGAAAAAGCGTTCCGACTGGAACACAACATGCGAGACTGTTTCAAACTGATCTTCGTAGTTTGAACACAGAGAGATCGTTTTGATTTTTAAATTTTTTTTTCATCTATTTTCTGTTGGCGTCAACTGTGCACCTGTAATACGAGGTCTGGCAATAGAGTTCCCGGACGGATTTTTTTGTGAGTCTGTCAATATCCCAAACATTATTTTCATTCCATGGACTGATAGATTAGACTGTTGGGCAGTGCTGTGTCAGTTCTCATCTGACTAGCACATTGAATGAGAGTTTGGCTGGCAATGTAGCAACGCAGTGTGTAAGGCGTCTGTCATATTCCCAGAAGGAAGCAATGCTTCATCACATTTTGTCTCGAACCGGGGAATACGAATGATATTCGAAAGCAGCTTTTCGCGCGGGGAAGTACCTAAGGACTGGAGACTAGCAAACGTCGTACCGATCTTTAAGAAGGGCGAAAAGAGTCATCCAGGAAATTACAGGCCGGTAAGTCTCACGAGTATCCCAGGGAAGATCATGGAGAGCATACTAAGGGACCATNAAAAATTCCAAAAAATTCAACATTTTAAAAAAACTCGGCGAAAAAAATGTTTTCTGGGACCATGCATCCTGATGGCAGGACGCATTTTTTGAAAAAAAAAAAAAGCACATGGTCCCACGCGGCAGACAAGCAAAAATAGGCTGGTCGTCAACGTGTTAAAAAAGGTTCAAAGAGGCGAGGGAAAAATATTTTGAAGATCCTTGGCCAAGTAGGCATTCAAAAGGGAATGGTGAAGGCCTACTTGCCAGAGGATCTTGGAAATATTTTCCCCCTCACCTTTTCAATGAACCTTTTTTTAATAAGTGCTGAATATACATGTTTAGCCATGCTACCAGTGTATGTTCTATTTTTCTGTCATGTTCCATGTATTTTCTCCAGTCTTTAACAAGGGTGTCAGAGCCTGCATGGTAAAACTTCTAGTGATTCTAAACACTTGTATTCAATTTGAACCTCTGCAACGGTCAACTTGAAATATATTAACCCTTTCACTGGGATTGGCAACTCCTGGTGTCCAGGAGATGCCAATGCCTCCTCAAATGATGTCTTCGGGAGGATGTTGAAGATTTGAATTTCTATCTGCCAGTGAAAGAATTGAGCATTTTGCATCCACTTCCTAGTTAAGAACCAGAATGCACTAACCAGGGACCATGAAAGGGATTTGAGAGGGAATGAAAATAGCAGATGATGCAGATGACATGTGAGGAGGGCAGGACGAAGAAGGGAGCAATGGTGGATGTGATGGGGTGTCATCATAAGCCCTCTTGTGCAGGCGGCAGGCAACTATGAGCCAGCATGCCGATACCACAACGGCAACAATAACTGTCACAATCACAGCCACTTGCCAGTCCCAAGAGCCAGAAACCACAGCTGTACTCTTATCTCTTTTTTCACCTTCTGCAGTAAAAATTCCAGTGAATGCAAGATATTCCAACCAAGGTATCCCATAACAAAGTTTCAAAGATGTCCTTTACCTGCAGTAACAGTAAGGTAGGCCTTATCAGTGATTTTCCCAAGACTGTTGACCATTTCACATTCGTAATTGCCAGCATCAGACATCTGTGTGTCGACTATGATCAGAAGCTGGTTATTGGAGGTGAAGAAATAGCGCTTGCTGGTCTGGGGTAGCAAAGGAATGTCATCCTTTTTCCAAGCCAAAGATGGGGTTGGGGACCCATTTGCCATGCATTCCAACACAGCAGTGTCTCCTACTTTTGTTGTTTTATCTCGCATTGGCCTAACAATGGATGGTTGATCTAAGAAGGGAAACAACAGTTATAAAATGTATCTTCCATCTCCTATCACTGCAAATTCTTCAAGGGACTCACCAAGGACAGTAAGAGTGAAATTAGTTGAGATGGTGCCAGCTGCGTTTGTGGCCTTGCATGTGTAGACTCCAGCATCTTCTGGCTGGACATACATGATGGTCATCTGATGATCTTGATGGAACTGGTAAAGCCTCCTCTCATTAGCAGATGGAAAGTTCTTTCCACCTTCTTTATCCCATCGAATCTCTGGCTTGGGATAGCCGTCTGCTGCACACACTAGATTGGCCTTATCTTTTGTTCCAGCACGCACAGTCAAGTTCATTGGCTTCTTGGTGAAATAGGGAAACACTGAAAAAAATAAAAATGCAATTTGAATCACTGCATTTGTACTGAGACATAATTGCCAGAGAGATCAAAGGATTGGTGACTCACCATAAACTGTGATCTTGGCTTTTTGTGAATATGTTGTCCCAAAGGTATTTGAAATAATACACTGATACTGTCCAGAATGATTGCGGGTCAAGTTGCTTAGATGCAGAAATGATGTTGCTTCAAGTCCTCCATTGGACAAAGCCCTCTCTGTATTCAAAAGAAAACCTTCGCTACTCTTCAGAGGGCGATTGTCTTTCTTCCAAAGGACACTGATAGGGGAGCTGGATTGGGAGTCTGCCTTGCATTCCAGTGTGAGGTTCTTTCCAGCTAAAGCAATGGGGGATTCAGGCTCCTTGATCAGTCTTGGCCGTGGTGATATTGCTGTAGATACAAGGATCAATGTTAGGCAATGTTACTTACTACCAAACAAAAAGTAAAGGGAAAATGAAAGAACAGAAGACACCAACAGCAAGTGAAATTCTCAGTTGGGATTTTGGTGAGATGTTTTCCCCCATATTCTTCAGGAAGGAGACAGATGAGATCAACAGTAGAACCCAGTCCCATGCGTGAGAGCCAGCTTGGAAGCCAGGCTGCTTTACAGTCACAAATCATGGATGATGTATTCAGATTCAACTCAGCCAATCCCTGAGAAGAAATCAAGAATTTCAATTAATGAGATTAAATATACATAATCCATAGTAATCAGTTTTTTATCTAGAGGCTTTATCTTTACATCCAGTGAAGCAAACTATGCAAGTATATACATTTTTGGAAGGCCCTAGAAAAAATCTTTTGAATGAAAATATTTTCACTGCAAAATCTCTTAACTAGACAAAGTTATGTGCATTTGTCTGAGGTCTGAACCCTTTTTCAAAAGTCTTCAAAACTAGTGTTTGTGGTTTGTCAGGCAGGTCCCAAAAATTGTAGTTGTTGAAGTAAAGAAACATACCAATAAAATCCTGAGTAAATCTTCAAATCTAGACTGATGCAATGCTGGTTTCCACTACAGTCACAACATCAAACATTGAGTCAAAGAAGTGAGGGTGTTTGATTTTGAAAAATATGGTTACCATTGGCTTTTGATAGCTTGAGAGGTAGATGGGAGGTGGTCTGTGAACTGGGTGGAGAATTGACTGTGCCTTACATCAAAATATTTGAAAACCTATTCTAAAGCTATTTTTTAAATTGTCCAAATTTCAGGAAAATGCATGTAACTTCATCCAGATTAGTCGTTTCAGCAAAAACTGGCTAATTTGAAAAATCTCGTTCAGGGCTCTACAAAAACATTCACACTGATTCACTGGAGGCAAAGGAACAGTCTCAAGAAGAATAACCCAGTTTACTATATGGACCACTCTGTGTGATGAGTAAAATGTACTAGTTTTGCTGTTTAATCTAGTATTAAGATTACCCCACCTTCATGGGTGAAAAAGGGTTTTCTTCTATGGTATTGATACTGTTGCCAAGGAGATCCAATTTTCGGAGGCTTCTAAGGCCTGAAAAGGCTTTCTCAGCCACAGACATGATGTTGTTACTCTGCAAGCCCAGCTTGGTGAGTTTACCAAGTCCCTGGAATGCACCTGATGAGTCCTCAATGGTCCAAGACAGATTATTCTCATGCAAGTCTCTGCAAGGAAGTAAATTTCCAGTCAGATGATGGAACAAATGCAGTTCTTGTGAGGAATGTAGCAGACAAAAGAATACTGACAGGGTGAGGAGCTGTGACAGAGGCCTGAATGCAGCATCCTGAATGGAGTGGATTTGGTTCCCCTCAAGATTGAGTGTTTCCAGCTTTCCCAGCTGACTGAACATCCCTTGAGTGATTTCCTCAAGTCTGTTGTGGCTTAAGTCCCTGTGCAACACATAATAAGGGTTACAAACTCTCTCAAGCAGCAAATGTTTACACATAGATGAACCGGACACTGGTACCTGAATACAACTGTATCTCACAGAAATATAATTTGAAACTAGGAAAACGTCAGGAATCAAAAAGGAGGATATTTTTATTCAATTGCAAGGTTTCTTTTCAACAAGCAATCTTTTACTTTTTTACATACCTTCAACGTGTCTTTTAACAGAACGACTTAAAGGTACACGTGGAATGACCAAGATGGCCTATTTTAATTCTATATCTATCCTATATCTCTTGTACAACAGACACTCAGTCAAAAATAGAAGGATATAAGTACGAAATTTCATTTTAAATTGTATCACTTTCCCCCTCTATTTTGGTACCTATCCAACCCCTGGAAAAACTTGAATGTTTCCATGGAAATATTTACAAATTCACATCTTTAATGGAGACTCACAGAGAGACAAGACTGTGGCACTTATCCCAGGCCCCATCCTCTATCAGTTCAACCTGATTGTGTGAAAGTGAGAGGACCTCCAAAGATTCCAGACCAAACAGCCAACCCTTTCTCACCCTCCTAACCTCATTCCAATCCAAATGCCTGCAAGACAATGAAAAGTCACGATGCAATTCTTGCTAGCCCATCATAGTTCTCACTGGCTCAAAATGTATTGAGAATACTCACAGCTGTTCAATCTTGAGCAGTCCAAAGAAAGCACCATCCTCAAGGATGGAGATATGGTTTTTTCGCAGCTTGAGCACTCGCAGAGAATTGAGACCCTCAAACTGAAGGCCTTCTATGACATTCACATCATTGCGATTCAGGTCCAGCTGGATCAGATTTGTGAGATTTTGAAAGAGACGCTTAGGAAGTGACTTTATGGAGTTCTTGCTCATCCGCAGGTCCTCCAAAGCTGTCACATTCCCCAGGGACCCTGGCTCAATGCTTACAATGTCATTGTTACTGAGGATCCTGCAATAGTTGCACTAGTCACAATGAGATTCTGCTTTGGGATGAATGCAGCCACAGATGAATTCAAGGTGAAAGAAACTTACAGAGATTTCAATTTGGGGCATAGTGGCAGAGCACCAAAAAAGATGTCAATGATCTTGTTGTGAGACAGGTCCAGATGCTCCAGTCCTGGGAGCCTTGATATCACTGTCCCATTTAACATGTAGATGTTATTGTGGGCACTACAAAGAGATCACAGTCACATGCCACACTCAATAATTTGAAAATAGGCACATTAAGTTGAAGAAGAGATTACTCACAGGCTGAGGTGAAGTTGGTTTTCCATATGACCAAGATCGGGCATCTCTGTAAATATGTTCTTGTCCAAAATCCTTAAAAAAAAGTGCATGAAATATACTTCAAACAAGGCAGCTAAAGTAGGCCAATTTGGTGAATGGTACTTGAGCCTGCCATTCCCAAATTAGTATGTGCTGCATGTGACCTTGAAAATTGATCAATATATATGTACAAAATCCATGGTCATTAAAGTTTCACCTTCAGGAATATTGTGAAGGAACCAAGATTAATAACTTCATCAATTACGTTACTTGTCACTAACCCTAATTTAAAACGGGTTGTATGTTCTGAGACACCCCATTACAGGTTATATCATCCTAGGTATCACCTTTCTTCCTTTGCTACCATTACATCGTAGAGAGGAAAAAGCCTTTACTATATAGCACTGATTATATTCTGAAACAAAAGAATAAAAAAAAAACTTACAAGGTTTCCAAGAGAGGCAATCCCTGGAAAGCTTCAGCTTCAATCTTCTCCAACTCGTTTCCTCCAAGATTGCTTAAAAGACAAAGACCGGCCCCCTTATCAGATTTTTTCCTCCTTCCATTAGAGGAAATGGACTCGTGCATCATCGCTTCTCGGTAATAACGCTCTTAATCGAATTACAGAATAAAAAGGAAGTCCTGTAGAGATGGGGGCCTTTGTGAAAGACAATCCATCCCTGTCGTCTCTCCCGACAGGTAGGGGAAAGAGAAGTCTCAGACCAAATAAAAATGATGGGGAAGAAAAAAGAAAAAGAAGGAATTCCAGAGCCTTTTCTGAGGGGGGGGGGGGGGGGCATATATAATCATTAGACTCACACCTGCAGGAGGAAAAAGGCCGAATGCCAACCTGCTGCGAGGCTTATTACTTGCCCTCCAGATATATGAATTCCCTGCTCGGGGGCATCGGGACTGGAGTCCTTCGCGGGGCCGACCCATGAAAGATGCGGCTGGCGGCGGGAAGGTGATGGGCAGTGGAAAATAGTGTCTCTTTGTTTTCCCGCAAACACCTCCACCCCCGAGCCCCCTCCTGTCTCCGACACCTGCCGCTTCTTCCACGCGGAATTGAACAAAAGAACTCCAACACCTTCACAACACGATTCCTCTCGCCCCCACCATGCACTTTCTAAGCTGGAGATCGTGACGAATCCAATGGACTCGGAGGCCCCGATTTTCTTTTCATTAGGGTGGATTTTTGAACCGAGCACTATACGATAATGCAGCTTTATTTCAGGAAACAATGGGTGGATTTTTGAACCGAGGACTATCCAATAATGCTGCTTCCAGGAAATATCATGAACATTCCATGGAATGAAGCTGCATTATCGGATAGTTCTCAGTTCAAAAATCCACCCAATGTGATTTTCCGAAATATTTTTTCTCCTAACTCCTTTTTATGGAGAAGAAACGATGAATTTCAAATAATCACTTGAGTGCCTGTTCATCGTTTGACACTAGATTTCGTAAACGTTTATGAAAATTTTCCTTTCAATTGACCCAAGGATGCTCACTACTGGACTGGGATTCGACCAGCGTGTTTCCTTCTCGGGGTCACTCCGCCCTTGCTCCTTATAGGTCAAGGTATCAGGCTTCGCCGTTGACTTGTATGCATTCTCATGCAAGGGCATTCTAACAGGCATCAATATCATCCGAGCGAAGGTTGTGATTCATCCAGGAGAGAAAAATCCAGGGCATTAGGAAGGTGTTCGGTCAACGACAAGCTGGACCGGAGACAGACAGAGAGACGGATGATGAAAACATGTGTTGGGATATGGAGGCACGCGGATTGAGTTCACAGGCCAGAATGACGAATGATAGAAGGAAAAAAAAAAACCGGTTTAGGACTGAAGAGAGAACTCGGCATGCACGAGCTATGACAGCGTTGACAAGACGACATCTTGTCAGTCCACCTCCGCAACACGATCGGGCTACGACCGGAGAGAATTCCTTTCTCCTCCCCACCGTAATTTATTTTTCTTCTTTCCTTTTCTTGTATGAACCAGATGATCTTCACTTCCAACATCCGTTCAAAATCCACCAGTGCGATCAAGAACTGCACTTGGGAATTTTCTCCAATCCGCTTAGCCAGAGATTCTGTTTCACTCAAGTCCGTAGCACCCGCCTCCAATTTAAAAAAAAAAAAACGTTATCCTCCTCTCCCATAACCAATATCGTATCGACTGGGGCCAGACGGGAAGAGGAGGAAATTGCGAAATTCGAAACCCAACTGAGGTGTTTTCCAACACGTATCATTAACGAGCTCGAGCTCGGTTTTCCCGAACGTGCCAGGTTGAGGGAGAGGAAAAAAAATACGGAAAGAAAATGCAAAATAGGGAGAGAGAAGAAATCATAACGAAGCCACTGCTGCACATATATTTGCCTTGAACAAACGAGGGAGAGGAGGTTTATTCGGCCAGTCTGAGAAAAGTGGAGGTGTGAACACAGGTGCACAATCTAAACAAAACAGGTGACACCTTTGATAAAGTCTGAGGGACAACAAGGAGAGGCGATAAGGGAGGATTCGTTCTCCAAGGACGGCTTGCAACGAGATACTAGTGTGCCTCTTGAATACATTTTTCCTACGTTGTACATCTTTATCTCTGTGTCGACATTTCTCTGATTCGTAGCACAGAATGTCGAATTAAGACAGACGTCGATACAGGAAGGGATTCAGAAGAACCTGAAACACCATTCGCTTTGCAATATAAAAGTTGAGATTCAAGCGAGACTATGTCGCCGGCTAATAAGTCAGGCGTATTGTTCTCGCATCTACACTCGAGACCTCTAATATATACTGATCTTATAATTTCAGGCAACTGAAAGACTAAACTCTGGCTCATATCTTCGATTTTGGGGGGATCCGGCCTGATGTACAAGAATGTCTGGAAGTAGAATAAGGAGGGAGAAGTCTGTGGTGGTCGTATCCGAGGGAAGGAAAGCCACCTGCATGGGCAGGGCCGGGCCAGGACAGGAATCTCAATGTCCCAGGTTCCCTGCCCCGGAATACAATCACCCGGATTATTCCTCCTCCTCTCATACACATACACACACCTGTGCAAACGTCCTCCACTCCCTTCATGCTTTTTTCTTTTCCCCTCCGCCGGACAGAAAGGGAAGATGGATGAAACGCCGGGGATCAAAGACTTTTTCATTCCCGGTCCCTTTTTTTTTTCCCGCCCCAGGGTTTCAGGCTTTTCATTATATGACAGTCTCCTCCTTCCCGCCCCATTCCATTCCTTACTCGGACACTGGGTTTGGTCGAGACTGACTTCAGGGCAAACAATACCGGTCTCATACAGAGAAATAATGCTTTCCAGACTCAACACCTGTCCCTGTTGAGTGAATGTCGTACACATAATCCTAGAGCTTAAGAGATTCATGAGACAGACATGTATACTCACATCTTGTTCAAGCTGCCCAGTCCTTGGAAGGTGTTCTTCGGAATGTGTTTTATCGCATTTCCCTGGAGTTCCCTGAAATGGACATACAAGCGCTAATGAATAATTTCTCTTCGACGATAATTCGCAACACGCAGGTCAGATGAGGAATTAAATAATTCAACTGGCGGAAAATTCTTTTTTAGGCAGTCCGCTTAGTTCAAAGGCTTCCTTGAAAAATTTCTGCAGCTTTCAGGGACTGAACATTTCTTAAGGCTCCAAATGGCATGGGGTACAGGTACAAACCAAAGGTACTTGTGCATTCCGTGATTCCATGAGAGAAAGAAGCACCTCTGAACAATGACATTTGCGTAAATATCAGCTCTATTAAGAAACGGAAAAAGAGTTGACCACTTCGATCTCGAGTGGATTGATATAGTGCTTTCTTTCCCTTTCCTGCTAGGAATCCCAGGCCGCAATCACGGCGCATTCCCATTTCCAAAAGATCTCATCACATTCGATTCTGTGTACTGGAAATGACAATGCCCTTCGGTGGAAGCAAAACACATGAAAATCTGTGGTATTTAATTGGCAGAGTTTCTATATTACACTGTTTCTGTCTTTGTAGATAGATGGTGGTTGGATAATTATAAACCGCTATGCTTCTTACATCGGCCACTCAACAGCTCTACAAGACAATAACATGGATTTGTGAAAATGCCAAGCAAAATACATCGGAGTCATCTTGATGGGCAATGTGTAAACATTTTTTCTGCAAGAACCTTCAGAAAATAGATTTTGATGAGATGTCATGGCGAATTACATTGTCACTGTCTTTTAAGAGCTTTGCTATTAGGCTTGCCTCTTCTGTTCACTGCTGATACCATACCCTAGGCGCTTAGAAGTTGTTAGACGATTCAAACGAGGAAATAGAATACTGAAACACTTCGAAAATATGTAAAATGCCTCTTTGGATGACATCCTTCCATTTTGTATATTTACATCAACCTTTTCCAAAGAGAGGGCCACCATCATTTCCAGCCACCATGTACACCAGGAAACTTGTATGAGCCTTGGCAGGCTGATGAAGGAAAGATGAAAGTTCCACCTATTGTCTCCCAATCACTACTAAAATTTCCTTTTAACCAGCTGGTTATTTATATTAATTATATATTTTCCCTTTTTGATCCTGCTGATGACCATATTTAACAGCTTAAACACCAAATAAACTTCTCAAATAGCAAAGGATTTCAACCACAGATTCATCAATTAGGTAAACTCACTTAAGGGCCACCTTGTCTTTATCCATCCATTGCTCCTTACAACTTCAGGTCTGAATTTGTTCTAATTTTACTTGGCCATACCAGTACCTTCTTCTGAAACTCTACAAAGGAAGCAATTAACTTCAGAATGGAATGACATCAAAAATGCTTCTGAGACACTGCCACCTAAAGCAAATTTCCTTTTCACCCATTTGAACATCACATATATACTGGGCAAATAAGATATTCACCATTCAACTAATACAGTTTTATTTACTTAAAGATTTTGCCTACTATTTTGTTTAGGCAGTTAAAAACTTAAAGAGTCCAAGAGTCTAAACTTAAAGTCCAAGAGAAAAGTTAAAAACTTTTCTCTTTGACTTCTCCATGAACCACTCCCATTGGGGGTAGGATTGAACGATAGTTCAAATTATACTAGTTTAGAGAATAACATTTTCACTTGTCAAGAAGTGAAGATGTAGTAGAAAGCCTTCAAAGAAGGCAATGCATCTTCATAGTAAAAACCGTAGAAATTGAACAGCTGTAATACTTGAAAGTAGACTGACACTGCCACAACATCTTTACTGGGGTAAGGTTATCTAAAATGGGGAGAGGCAGGAGAAGCACAAAACCCTGACTTGAAATGGTCATGTGGCCAGGAAGGCTTCTTTGCATTCCACCCTTGAAACCTGGGCAAGTCTATCCTATTATCTTAACTTGCAGGTTTCTTTAAATGTAATGCCTTTAACCCCCTTTAATTGGGTATGACAACTTAATTTAAAATGATGTATTCATTGAGGTACTCATCAGTCATATTTCCTCTAGTGGAACATGTGAAAATTATTACATAAAGTAGTATGTTATGCGTCAAGCATAGTAAGGAAAACTCCCCAACATGTGAACAAAGATTTTAAAATGCCCCAGAGAGGGATTAACAAAGTAAATGTGAAAAAGATTCAATGATCTTCGGCAGCCTGAAGATAAACCAGCTAAGACGGTATACTCATGTTCCTACAGCTTCACAGGTCACATCCTCATACAGCCACCCACATCGATTGCTTGGCAAAAAAAACCTTATCATAACCAAACATGAAAAATAAATTATAGACACCTGCTATATATGGAAGTAGAAGAGAACATCTTTGAGTGAGTTTTTGTTCAATAGAACACACTCCCTAATGTCTAGAAATTCATGTCTAAAAAGCAAAAATTCAGGACATCAATATATTTGGGTGTTTACTCTGTGTTACTGGCAGAAAACCTATACTCTATTTGGACCTTGACTTTTCTGCTACATAATCAAAAAGATTCTTTCAACAAAGATTAGATTGTTATGCAGTAGTTCACCTCGGTTCTTTTGGGAATCTCATAGAAGTGACACTTCTTTTCTGGATTTGAGGAATGTGCATTTCATGCAAAATAACAGGGTGTACTCACAGACGCCCAAGCCAAGTTGGCAGGTCTTCAGGGACGGAGATGAGACCACGTTCTGCACAATCCACAAAATTTCCCAAGCAGGAACACACATCAGGGCATGAAGATGGCCGAGAGAGCACACCCCCATTTCTCAGTTCCCTGGTAGGACGGCTGCTCCAAGCAGCATTTGGCCTATTCAAAGTCACAGCTATGCAGAGGTGAATCATGATCCATGACACAAGTCCCAGGTGAACAGGTCCCATGGCTTATGATCTTTGTCCAACACTAGGTCACTCCCTCTTCATGGCTTCTCAAAAATTCCCCCTCAGGCTGGTCTATACCTGAGCTATGAGCAATTCTAAATGCCCCAACTTCATTTTTTTGGCTGGTATTATGACTAACACATAGCACATCTGAAAGAAGGGAAATACAATTTACTATATCAGGGGGGATTGCAGGAGTTCAAAAATCTAGTTTCAAGGGTTTCTCTTTAGGCACTTTGCAAAAGTATTCAGCTCTTAGCTGAAGAACAACAATTATTAAGAAAGATCTCTTTGAACAACCATTGCTGATGATAGTTTTCAGTTTTCCAACCAGGATATTTTATATCAAGGGCTTATGTTCCAGTTTTGGTCCCCTTGGTCACAGTAATTTGTTGAAAAAATAAATTATAGGTCCTCATTACCAATAATGCATGTCATGATGACTATAAATTAAAACCTCTTCTATGTTTTATGCTGATTTTTAAGAAAAAAAATTTCACTGACTTTGTTTCAAAGCACCTTTCTCTGAAAATTATACCTTTGACCAGCATGCAGACAAGGAATTCTCAAAAGAAATCCTTAATCCATTCAAGGTATAAGTCTTTGCTGAAAGTAGGAACCATACAGCAGAAATCTCCAACTACATATATATATAACCCTTATACAGTTTGATAAATCACCAAGGAGTTTTTGATACATGGAGAATTAACAGTAGGAACAGTGGGCCTATAATCAATTGATGGTATAAGTATATAATCCATATGACAGAAAGAAAAAATTAAATTCTTTCACCAAATAGTTTATAAATGGCAAAGTTTTAGCCACCTTGGGCCAGTTTGCCATACCCTGTAAGTATCATGTTTTCATTGCCACATGTAGTTGAGGGGTTAATATTGTCAATCAAACTGTATAAATCCAATTCAGAAAATACAAAGAGAAAAATAAGCCTTTGAGACTCGTAGAATATACTTTTTTATCATTAGATAGCAGAAAAGTACAAGGGGTATTGATATCTTAAGTACCCGTCCAAGAACTGAAGCCTAGTCATTGCATGCAGAAACACCACAGGTAAATAAAGATTCAAGTCCTCTCCTGCATTACCATGAGCATATGAAGGTCTTCCAGAGGCATTGCTCTGCTTAGGAGCCAAACTAAAAAAATTACATTTCAGGGTTAGAAGGAATATAATAAATTCCCAAAGAGAACAATGGGAATTCTTGGAAACAAGAATTCCTTTTACTTATAATAAACATAAACCTAACCGAACATTAGGGACAACACAATATCCCTATGGGGTATACGCTTAACCATAACCTTTTTACGATATGTTCATATGCTCCCAAATGTTTCTGTCTCATCAAACTTATAATAGTTTTTCAGCCTGGCTGGTATGAGTTTAATTTATTCCCAGTATGAATTCATATTAATTAAGGAACAAACACCTTTGCTTTCAAAAAGAGGATCCATAGATACAATGTATGTTATGACAGATATGGAAACTATGATGAAAAATGAGATTTGAATCATTTGGCATTTTAAGTTTTACAAAAAAATCATTGAAGGAACATAACTGCAATAGGCCTGTTCTGCAAACAGTTAACCAAACACATCTGGTTAACTGAGCGCAAGTAGAGTCACCTGGAATCTCAATTGATTGGAATTCCTATTATATATAATACACACCACACCCACCCCCTTAACCTAAGGAGAAACACAATATCCCTAGGGGGTACAGTCACCTGGGCAACCCTACACACTGTGTATGTTTAACTGTGTCCAATGGGCAACTGTAAGCGGAATAGGTCCAAGAGCACAAAATATAAGTCTTCAACATAGGTCCAAATAGATCTAAACTTGTGTACATGCATACCAAAAAGCTAACAGCTCAGTGAATGCACAAATTCTTCTTCCAAAACATTAATATCAAGGATTTTAAAAATAATCTCAAGAATACAGCAAAACAACAGCTTACCTCACTTCAGAATTCACCATAGGCCTAGAACAAACCAGATCCCAAGTCCCAATGACAGCATTCACGATGGCTTAGGATTTAGGCATTAACTTTAGGTCTGCTTTAGGGAATGAATCAAAGTTAGGCGATAACGTAGGCTAACCAAGGCAACTAGTGTCTACGCTTCCGCATACATAGGCATATCACAACCTTATCAGTTCTCCACGCCAGTGTACCGAAACTAGAGGAAAACAAACGGCCGTACCAGCGACCGTCGCGCAGGACAAAACCTTTCCGTTCCCTGGTGCAGCGACACAACTGAGTCAGTTGATGCAATGCATTCCTCTACTGGGAAGCGTAATGACTGGCGGCCTCAACGTGACGTCACAGCCATACTCTCATCTCATTGGCTTAAAATGTTTTCCTTTTTTTTTTTTGCACTGGAAATCAGTTTAGTTCGACACAGGCTCATGATAGCAAGAAGTTCACACCTCTTTGTATGGAATGGGACCAATTAACAGCTTCACAGTTAGATCTCGCGTCTGTTTTGCCAATAAATTCATTATGAAAGCTGCTAAGTAAAGGATGAATCTCATCGCGGGAATCTAATTTGCCCCAGTAGTCCCAAAGTCTGTCATGGCCGCCCCCATTCGCCATGACAACTGTTGTATGTCAAGTCATAGGTTCAACGGTTGAATTGAGATGTGATGTAATTCTGCCCTTATTGATATCAGTCGAGGTGGAGCTTTCAGCTAAGAAAAGTGACTGATGGGAATTCATCAACCTGCAGAGTATTTACTTTTAGCAATGTGCTTTTATTCATAAAAGTATGTACTTGATATATTTATTGAATCGCTCCTTGTGAGGCACGAATATGGAAAAGTTATCAAAACAGGTAGCCTATCAGGCAGTAGGAAGGCATAATTAGATAATCGAATAATACTAAGATGAATCTGTCATTGCTCAGCCCCAAAGGACAACAAATCGGTGTTGCCCACGTTTACACGAGGAGGTAGATGTTTTCAGTTAAGCTGAAGACACGAGCATCACTTGACCGAGGGGAATTCTTTATTATGCAGGTAAGACGATAGAATCCAATGGTTTAAAAAGTGAGTGGTGATGTGCCAGGAATGGCAGTTTAACTCTTTTAGACTTGAATTTAGGCCACTATAGGAACGATATACTTTTTTGCATTCTTTAGCTCTTTTCATATTCTACCTACTTTAAATTTTTATTTTCTATATATCATTTTTATATTTTGTTTAAATTTACCATATCCTATCATATATTGTATGTTATACATGCAATTACATAACTGCAGATTACAAAACTGGTGGGTGAGTGAAGGCCTTCAATGAAATTGAGCCATGTACAGTACTGAACAAATTATTAGAAATTTCCAGGAAATTCATACTTTGCAAACCATAATAATATCATTTACATATAGTAAGTATTAGAAAACTGTAGATTACATCTCCTAAGTCCATTCAGTATTTAGTATGACCACCCTTGGCCTTGATCAGGGCCTCCACTCTCTGGCATGCCTCTAATGAGGGTTGAACAGAAATTCCGGATTTCATCTGATCTAAACCAAACCTCTACCAAACGTTCTATGAGCTTGGTTTTGTTGGTAATAGGCACTTCATGGATTCTGTCCTTGAGTATGTCCCACAAAGACTCAATAGGATTCATGTCTGGGGAATTCCCAGGCCATGGTAGTACATGAATCCTATTTTTGTCAAACCACTGGTAGACCTTGCGTGCGGTGTGGCAAGGTGCAGAGTCCTGCTGGAAAATACAGTGGTTATCCTGGAACCAGTCCTTTATTTGAGGTTTTAAACGTGAGTTCAATAAGTCCACATACTTTTCACCATTCATTGTTCCCTGAATAATGTGTAACCGGCTTGTGCCTTGGGTGGATATTGCCCCCCACACCATCACTTTTGTAGGAAATTTCACCGTCTGTCTGAGGCAATCCTCCCTAAATTCTTCTCCCTGTCTTCTACGAACTGTCTGAACTCTGTCATCTAATACTTGAATAGTTGACTCATCAGAAAATATAACTTTTGACCAGTCATCAGCATTCCAGTCTTTGTGAGCAAGCGCCCAATCCAAACGACATTTCTTCATTTTGTCTGTCAATAGAGGTTTCTTCCTAGGTCGGTAGGCATAAAGTCCAGCTTCCATCAGTCTTCGATTAACTGTCATACGATTCACCTTTATACCTTCCTCTTGCAAAACAGATGCAATTTTCCTGCATGAAGCCCTTCTATCTGACTGACTGAGGTGCACAATCTTGCGGTCCATCCGTGGAGTAGTTTTTCTCTTTCGACCACATTTTCCTTGGCGCTTCACTGCCAGATCACTGCCAGTACTCAAGAGTTTTTTTATTCTGCACACAGATGCTGTTGACACTTTCAGTTTTTTTGCTATTTCACACTGGCTCAATTCACTGTTTTCGAGTAAAACCTGAATTTGTCCTCTTTTACGAGGACTCAAATCGCTCGTTTTACCCATCAGGGGGTTGGTAAATTCAAAATTTCTGATACATTACAAACTTTTATCCAACAACAAAGAAACAAGAACGAAACTGAATATTTATTGGATACTAGGCTGAAGTTTCATCCATATCACCCGCCCGGATACCCCACAGTGAGGGTTTTTCAAAAATCGGAGGTTTCGCTTAGAGATTTCTAATAATTTGTTCAGTACTGTATAACTAAGTCCATTGTACTGCAATATGGGGTGCAAAGTCACCAGAATCCCAAGAAATTACCATAGAAACAATGAAAATGCGTTGTCCATTGGAATGGATGCAGGGTCTGAAAGGGTTAAGGCTTTCCATTAATTCTTTGTCATGATTCAGCTTTGGAACCCATTTGGCAAGGCCTTTACAGTCTATGGTGCTTCTTAGCATCATGGCATCTGAGTTTTTAATTGATGCCCCTCTGTTTTAGTTTCCACATCTGAGAATGTCTTCAACATATGTGCCATGCACAATAATCAAGTTACTTAGGGTGATGTCAGAAACTTCTAGTGCTCTTCTTGGGAATTTCATCATTATTCTGTTCAGGTCTTGCAAATGAGAAATGGATATGTCATTTTAGATGATGTAGAGAGTGTACGTGCAGATAGGCATGACTTACATTTTGAAGAGAGACAGAGCAGCAGGTATTGACAGCTTTTGTAAGTTTTTGATGGTGTATATTGCTGCTATGCATTTTTGGACTTGGGACTTTATATGTTCTATAAACATTCCTGTGATATGGAACCTAACTCCAAGATAGGGAAATTCACAGACAAACTCCAAATTTGTATTTCCATATTGCTTTGCCAGTTTCCCTCCAAGCTGGAATTTCACCACTTTCATCTCAGTGTTCATTCGAAGAGAGTTCTCTCTAGATCATTGCACCAATACATTTACAGCTGTTTGTTCTTCCCTTCAAGATATTCAAGGAAGGGACAAGCACTATCATTGAAGAGCATGGTCCTACTGGTAGGACCAGCTGTACATCCATGATTAAAAAACTTCCCCCCCTTCATATCCTGACCTTTAAAATGAGGCATCACAAATGCTGTTTACAATAGTAGGTACTAGCTGAAGTACCAGGTGTTGGCTGGGGAAATTCAATACGTTAATATTACATGCATGACAAATTGAGGAGCATTAGCCTTATAGTTTCCTATAGGTTACTGATCTTGGATGTCGCAAAATGTGCTCTGACCTCTTTTCCTTTTTTTAACTTCAATTTTTTTAACACTTGGCATAATTTCTAAATCATTTTTGAGCTAAAAAAAACTTCTTGGTAAATGGTTTTATCCTTTTGAAACATATTTTCCATGAAAACTTGATCAAAAGAATATTATTACCACCTACCAGTGTAGGAAAAATATTTTTTTCCCATGAACCTGAGGCAACGCATTGGAATTTCCCAGGAAGGATATGTAAGCAGACTAAGCAGGCTGCCCACCCATGCACCTCTATTCCTGCAAACCTCGTTTGCAGGTTCACAAGGGTTTTCCTAGCCTGCTACCTACAGTAGTGATCCAGCAATGGGATTACTGCAGGGTACTGTGATGCAGGTGGCTGGGAGGGAAGAGTTGGATGGCATAAGAGGATTAAAAAAAAGGCAGGGGACAGCCAGGAATCAAACCTGGGCCTCCTGATTGCTGGTCAGGTTTGCTACCACTGCACCTCCAAATCCAGTTGTGAGTCATTCCTCTCACTGCCATCCCAGATAATACACTACCCTGGAAAAGTTCCCAGAGAGTGAAAATTTTGGATCAAAACATAGCCCTCAACCTTCCCCTGGATAAAAGAGGAGACCATGCAAAGTTTGGTTGCACTGGCTCCTGCAGGGTCCAAATGCATAACGGAACAAACAGACAGACAAACTTTCTTCTTTATATATAGAAGGTATTATCTGAACATGTTGTTTTGACTAGGCTTTCAGAGGTATGACCCTCCCAATAGGCAGTGGCTTGATTTCATGATGCAGGTAGATGCCAGCAGGTATTATGTGAGTTCAAAGTTGAATTTAGTATCATCATGTTTAATCCCTATAAAGCCTCCTCACTTGTTGGATGGTCAGGAAAGTAAGCTGAAGTGGGAATATCTGAGGCATGAAAAGGAGAAAGAAAACAGAACATTCAAATTATATGCATGCACAGGGAAAAGTGAATGGGTTTTGGTATATCACTCAAAGGTTGACAGGATTATTTGTCCCAGAAGAGGAAAAGAAACAAAAATAAATAGGTAAGAGTCACAGCTGATACCTGGGATAGGTATGGAATTTCATTTAGTGGAGTTAACTAAGAAGCAAGTTATCATAGTATTGGTGAATCCATTGCTTTCTTAAGCTATCCTCCATCTTATCTATGTCAGTGAAAGCAAAGACTTCTGCTTCCATATAGGCATAACTGAGATTTAGAGGATCCCTAATGTTCATGAAATGCAATATATCATGGAATTTTCAATCATACAAGTTAGATATAATATGACTTTGACATCATAAGTCACCTTTTGATTTCATCTTTCAAATCTCCTATACTTTTCTGGTTATATTGAATTCTTGTTTATAAAATATTCAGTCTGCATTAGCATGGCATGGAAGGAAAGAGTATCTGAAACAAGTCTGCATTTGTGAATCTCAAAAGTGAAGCCATGGTGGGATATATAAATGTAAAACATTTATATTTCCCACCCAAAAACACCTGTATCCTTGTATTTAAGCCAAGTGGTGGGAAGATATTCAAGAAATCCTTTTTTGTGACGTGATTTCTCAATAAGCTTTGGAAGTGGTAACTTTCCCAACCTGTCACTCTAAAGGAAAGATGTATTAGACCAACTTAATATAGCACCCCTAGAGTTTCCCACTCTAGCAGAAGACAGCTCACCTGCACTTTGATTGCCTATGTCTATGTGGCAGAGCATTCCAGATTATCTTGTCAGTTGATTGGCTGTCATATCCATGGTTCATCTCTAATTACCCATTTAATCATTCATGTCTAAACCTTGCCAAAATGTCACTATCTCAGTCCAGAATGTTTGCTCCATTGAAGTCTATTTTGATCTCATTCTAGTTGGAAGTGTCATGTGTTCCATTGCTGTGTAAGTGAAAAGTTATTTTCTCATAATAAGAATGGCTGAAGGAGGAGGATTGGGGGTAGAGGTGGAATGTCCCCCTACTCCACCAATGGCTCCATTCCCTGGGAGTCCGTCACCAAGATCAGGTCCCACTCCCCCTACCCCTCCTGCTTCCCCTGACAGCAAGTGTCCAATTTGTCTTGGCCGTGTACAGGACAGAAGTAAGACAAATACTTGCTTCCATACATTCTGCTATACTTGCATCTTGGAGTGGTCAAAGGTGAGTGACTAGTCAGAATTTGACTATGTTAAATGTTATGATCAATACGATGTAGATGGAATCTCTTTCTGTTATTGCTGAATCAGTTTATCAAGTCTACTTGTAACCATCAATATTGTATATGCTTGCAGTGTCTTATTAGAAGGGGTTTTCCGCTAAAAGGCAAAGTTAGATGGGATTGTAATATGTTTTTAATGAGTTGCCTTTTACCTCAGACAATCTTGACAATTCAATTTATATTAGAGACCTAATTATAAACAATAACCCTCATATACATCCCAATTGTAATGTATACTAAGAAGTAAAATAACTGCATATTTTAAGGGAAAAGGTATGTTCATGCCACTCATGAGAGTGAAAAATTAAGCCTCTTTTTTGTCATGTGACATTGAGATTGCCTGAATTAAATATTTAGTCAGGCTGTTGTCCTAACTGCAAAAAGAATTCTCTCCTATTTGGATTTTTTTAGATATCCTGTCATATGAGCAGTTACTCTTGTAACATACTTAAGTATGTAATGTAACATAGGCCTATTGTAAGATACTGAACCATTTTTTTTTTGTATTGGTATTGAGCTAATGATTTTAATGCTTTTCCCTATATGACAGGTGAAAACAGAATGCCCTCTCTGCAAACAGTCATTTCGAGTCATCATTCACAATATTCGGTCAGATCAAGATTACGATGAGTATGTCGTTCCAAACCCAGCCCCTAACCCAGCATGGCCAGCGATCCAAGTCAGACGATGGTAAATCTTTCATATGCTTTTCATTTCCCAATGTCCATCCACCTACCTCATATCAATTAATACCTGTGCCTGGGATATATGTCATTCTTTAGGCATGATCTGCTAGTTCCACATCTGGTTCGTATTCCACCTCACCTCCGAGTCCACATCCGTTTGACCTCTCGCCGACCTCAGCCTGCTACCTCAGACTACAGAAGACAGCTATATGAGATGGATCTTTGGGTCCGACCACTAATTGATGTCACAGGTCGATGCAGGCGTACCGATCCTGAATTTTTCAGGTTTGTTCACATTTCTTATACAGATGGTTTTGTAAGGCTGGTGTTCTCATTTTATACTGATAAGAGTTGTATCATTGAGATTTTTTTAAATGTGGTTATGTTGACAGGGAGATGCCAGCTACAACTCACCGTCTCATTCCATGGCTGAATCGTGAGCTCAATGCCATTCTCATCAATCCAGCTGAGAACATGTTTGTTCTGGAACTCATCCTGGCCCTCATCCAGCGATGTGGTATCCGTTCTGCTACATTTCGCAACCAGCTCCGCCCATACCTGGGACGGCATGCAAATCATTTTGTGCATGAATTCTGGGAATTTGCCCGTTCCGTTTATGATATGACTGGGTTTGATACACATGCTGTGTATGGGCCTCGACCACAAACTCCACCAAACTTAGCTACTATCATTGAGATAGACAGTGATTCCAGTGATTCATCAAGTGGAGTCCAGCTGCTCTCACCTGAACCCCAGCGGTCACTCTCCCTTGAAAATGGTGGCAGTCCTGAGCATTCACACCAAGACACACCATCACTTCCCATCAGTGCCCCAAATTCAAGCAGTCAGGGGAACAAGGGCCAGAGTTCTCCACAGCCTGGTCCCAGCACTGCCCAAGATGGCCAAGCCAGTTGTGATAGGCCTGCTGGGTTTTTCTGGGGAGAGCCGTACTTCCTTCAAGATTCCTCTCAGGATTCTGATTGGATGAATGGGAATAATTTCCCTCAACCAGGCACCAGCAGTCAGGAATTCCCATCACTCCCTAGCACGTCTTTCCAAAACCCTGGACCTTCATCCAGCAGCTCCCATCCATTAAGGCCTTGGCATTCTCCTCAGAACAGTGAAGAGTCTGACTCAGAAGTACAGATTCTTGAATGCTTGAAGCCCCAAAGGGAACGAACCCCAGAAGTTATCACTCTTGACTCTGAAGATGAAGAAATACCAGGAAGGGAAATGAATGAAGAAGATATCAGAGTATCAGCTTGCTCTTCTTCATCTTCTGCTCAGGTCAAAGCTGAAGTGAAATTTGAAGATATGGATGATGGTGACAGCACTCCTCCAAGACCAGTCATCAGGTCACACATTGTGAAGGCTGAACACCAGCACCAAGCAGAAAGGAAGAGGAGAAAGACATCAGGTCATGAAAACACCGATCATGGGTCTTGTCTGAAAAGGCAGAAATCATCCTCATGGGCTGATCATGGGTCTAGGCGTAAAATCAATCGAGCACGATTGTTGCTATCTCCACAAGATATTAGTAGCTCCTCAGACTGTAGTTCCTCACAAACTCCAGATACATCAAAGTATTACAATGTGACCAAGCAAAGCATTGCTTTGGGATATCACTTAAAGAAAAACAGTGCTTCTTCTGATTCTGGCTCTAGCAGTAGTAGCTTGGACAGTGACAGTGACTTTCCTAAGAAGAAGAAACTGCGGGTCAAGGAGTCTGAGCGGAGGAAGAAGCACAAGAAGAGCTCAGAGTCAAAGAAGAAGCATAAGTGCCCAAAGAAGAAGAAAAAAAAGCACAAGTCTCGACATAAGCACTCACACCATTCCAGTAGTGATAGTGGTAGTGAGACAAACTACAACTGACTAAGGTGCTGCCTCACTTTGAGAAGAGAGGCCATAGGGGATATGCAAGATACTTGCTCAGCATTTTTTTTTTCCAATTTTGTTAGGAATTGGGTGGCTACAGCCTACCTTTCATTCATTCTAGCTGCCTGAACATTTGGGTAACCTTGCATTCGCTTGTTGAGGGGTCATCTTCCATTGAAGATTGTTTTGCCTAATTTGGTACCGGTAACTTCTACTAAGAAATTGCATTTTATTTGCTGATCTCAAGTTAGACAGTGACTTTCTTAATTTCTTCTCTGTGGTGAGTTTGGTACTAATACATTTTAGACATTTTTTCCCAATTGCCTTTTTTTTCTGTGTGTATTCAAATAGATTATGATGCCTTATTTCAACAGCATTGAAATCCTTGTAGTTTAAAAAGGTTTATATGTTTATGATGAATTATTTTTGAGAGTATTATTACTCAAAGAGCTTTGACCCATTTCTCTTTTCCTTCCATCCAATTTGAAACATGTAACTGTGCCCTAAAGGTAGAACAACCAAAAATCAATGCAGACTCATTCTTCTTCCCTCTGTTTTATCTCAGTGGTATACTTACATATATATCAGGCTGGATGTGACATGGTTATTGCTCTGTAAGGCCACCCAAATCTTTTTAAATGTCACCTATGCTTGTGCTGAACAAGATTTTCTCTTTTGGTGCCGCTGATGTAAATACAGTCTTTGCTTGTTGTTGGGTGTTTCACTGCCTAGTGCAACCTGATGTTCAAGGGAGCCTGCTAGAAAATGTAATATCTATTTTAGATTTGTTTCCAGTATGACATTCATGAACCCCAATCCATCTCCTGAGATGGATGGCATGCCTCTTGGGAAATTCCATAAGAAAAGACACTATTTGGAAGTTGAAGTTGTTTAGACATGAAAAGGCTATTAGCTATATGCTACACAATGCATTTTCATCAGCAGTGGGAAGTTTGCAATACTCTAGGTGATAGCTTTTCTGTAATTTGGTTCCAGGGTGTATTACTTTTTTGAAAAGGGGTCCAAAGGATGGGATGCTGGGATTGATAGTGTTATGTGCCTCTTTCACTTTCACTCTTTCTTTCCTTTGCTTCCACTAAAATGCATAGGAATTAAAGAGCAAGAAACTAATGTAGTTTCTATCTGTCAATGGTTATTCCCCACATCAGTGCAATTAGAATTGCAGAGGGACAAATTGATGCCAGCTGCAGCCTACTGTCCAACCTTGAAAATTAATGGGGTCAAACAGGAGAAGCATTTTATGAAAACTTCACTGTTTATTGGTGTGAAATAATATATTATCAGTTAGAAGGTTATGGGTTACGCTGCTGAATGAGTTATTGCTCGATACATATAAACAATGTGACATCATAGAATTTGATCCATATATCTCCCACACAAGAATAGTAATTCACATTATATGAATTTGTTTCGTTACTTCAGTATATGAGATCATTCAGTTAGAGTGATCTTTGGTTGTCACTCCTCTATCAATACACACTTCTAACAATTAATAGATATAGAGGAAGGGGGGAAGAGGAATTTAAAAAAAAAGGGCATGTTGTAAAAACTAGGGACTTCATTTCTTGTGTGCATTCACTTCAGAGTGTTAGGAAGGAATGCTCCCAAGATGAGGTTAAATTTTTCCACACTTTTTTTTTCATATTGCAGCCTGGAATGTCTCGTTTGAAGCAGTGTAATAGCTTGGTATGGGCATTCAATGCTCTTGCTCTCTAGAATGGTAAACACTATTCAGTATTTCTCCAGGTATCAGTAAAATTGGTGGTATTGTGAATTTGATAAATGTGGGAAGTCATTCTCAATCTTTTTACTAAAATAGTTCAACATTTAAGACTTTGCACAGTAATTTGCTTCTGGAGCTCTAGTGAAAAGTTATACTAGTTATACTATGAAAAGTTATACTAGAATGTATTTTTGCATTCATTTGGAGGCCTCTGTTCATATCTTTATTATAAATAGAAAGAAAGTGAAGTGGGAGCTCCATGTGAAGGACAGCAGGAATGCCCAAAGTTAAGAAGGAAAAAAAGTCCAGGATTCATGGAGAAATACAAAAACAGGGTGAGTCCTGATTACATATGGAATGATGGAACAATAAATGAATCTGTATATTATTCCACTGATGAGTTTTTCTTCCTACCAGGAGTTCACTTCCGAACAGAATTGGGACAACATATCCTTAAGAATCCCTTAATTGTGGCAAGCATAGTTGAGAAGGCAGCAATTGGCCCTAGTGATGTTGTTCTTGAAGTTGGTCCTGGGACTGGTAACCTAACCTCCAAGCTCCTGGAAAAGGCCAAGAAAGTCATTGCTTATGAAATTGATCCTCGGTAATTTTTCTCTCATCATTCATGCCTTTTTGTGACAGAGGTGAAGATGCCTGATTCTGTTTATTTTTAAATATTTTATTCTATTCTGGTTGAAGACTGGTAGGAGAGTTACAGAAGCGATTCTTGGGAACACCACAAGGCCGGAAATTGGAAGTAATCCAGGCAGATGTTCTAAAAGTGGATCTCCCATTCTTCAATGTCTGTGTTGCCAATTTACCATATCAGATCTCATCACCATTCATTTTCAAGCTGCTTTTGCACAGACCTTTTTTCAGGCAAGTCAGCCAGCACATTTTTCAATTTGGTGCTTCCATTAATTGTTATAAAAAGTAACTTTTCTCATGCTAAAGATGTGCAGTGATCATGCTGCAGAGAGAATTTGCTCTTCGTCTGGTTGCTGAGCCAGGAGATAAACTCTATTGTCGGCTCTCCCTCAATACTCAGCTCTTAGCAAGAGTCCATCACCTCATGAAGGTCAGTTTGAAACAAAAAAGGTGAAAGTTCTATGCTATTATGCTAATAGCACAATTTCTCTGACTTTTCTGTAATTTCTATCAGACCTTAAGTGTTTTCATTCTCTTTACACCATCAGAGCCAGGAATCATTTATATATTATTATTCCTATCATCTGCTTTTCCTTAAATTAGCTTTTTTAAGGTGAGGACCATTCCCAAGAAAATGTAATTAATTTGAACTTGAATTGCTCTATGGATAGATATCAACAAAACTTACTTCTGAATTTGGTAAGGACTGATGAAACAGGAGAGGAGTTGGTGTAATTTTTTTTGTATGCCATTGAAATAAAATGGGCAAACTCTTGGGAAATGGGGAATAGCCTGTGTTGTGTGAGCCTTTCTACCTGGGCTCAAAAGACTTTTTGGGGTCTTGACCTAGTCTTTCTCAGCCCTTTTTGTAGATCTCTGTAATGCTGTGGCCTTCAGCCTTCTATTCCAGATGGCCTCATGATGATGGTTCATCTGCTCTCTTCTACAACCACCCTTGCAATATTCAGCAATAGTGGATCATCAATGGAGGCAGTTGAGAATAATTATTTCAATTGTCCTGACCTACTCAACACAAGTTTTCTCATTGCATTGGGCTTCCCACTTCTCCCCCAAATTTGTAACATGTGGGCCTTTCTGCCCTGTTCTGAAGTTTGTTAACTGCTAGGTGGTGGTCAGTGCTCAGTTCAACTCCTCACTTTACATTTTATCCATTGTCAGGTGCCACAAGTTTGCCAAAACAATCACATAGTGCAGTGGTCCCCAAACTTTTTAAGGTGAGGGCCTCATGGACACTTTACTTCTCCTTGAGTGGGCCACACTAATAATGTTAGTCAACCTGGAGTGGGCTGCTTTGAAAACGATCCAAAATTTCTGCATGGTTAACCCTTTATGTGGCTATTGATTTTTTTGGTGAAGGTAGGAAGTTCCATTTTAAGAATGGGCATCAATCAAAAACTGCCTATTCCTGCTGCAACCACAAACACTTTCAACTCTCATAGTCATGGAAACTGCCACTAGTTGGAGTCAGGGCGCATGCAAACACATTGGTTCTAGGTGCTGCTTTGTTATAAGTAGTATTTTTTAATAAGTGCTCCTTTTTTTTCCTCCTAAACGTCACCATTTACTTGTGAGGTAAGACACTTTTCCCTGCAGTATATGGATGCTCCGAAATTTAGGCAAGTTCAGCATGTGCATACCAAAATACATAAGCATCTAAATGTAAATGTGTATTATAAGTATCTGAATATTTCAACAATGGCTAAACTTGCTAGTTTACAGCGAAGGATTCAAAATCTGGAATTTAAAAAGGTGTTAATTACATTTATTCATGAGTGCCAATAAAATAGCTAAATTGGAAAAAGTCAATTATTAGTTAATCTTAGTGGGCCACATAAAACCATTAACTGGGCTGCACTTTAACCCTTTCAGACCCAGCATCCATTCCAGGACAGTGCATTTTCATTGTGTCTATGGTAATTTCTTAGATTCTTGTGTCTTTGCACCCTATATTACACTACAATGGGTGCAGTTATGCATTACTCAATTCCATTGGAGGCCTTCTCTCACCCATCAGTTTTGTAATCTGCAGTTATGTAATTACATGTATAATGTACTATGGTAATGCCTTCAGTGCTCCATTGTCCAGAATCAAAGAATCAAATTAAATTTTTTTTTTTTTTCATTTTCAAAGTGGCAAAAGCATAATTTATGTCCCTGTTGAAATATGTGCCATAAGAGGAGGGGACATCACCAGGATTTTTATCAAAATCTTTTTTTTTAATATTTATTTATTAATAGGTACTCGGAGAACTCCATGCCCACAAAGTTTCACTTATACCTTTGCCCTTTTTGCTGATGCAAAAATATCTTAGGAAAGACAACCCACCCAAAATCTGTGCCATGAGGGGATGTGCTACAAAATTTGAGTTTTTTTCTAAAATCAATATCATGTCAGTTATGTGTGTGTCAAGTTCCACCTCTCAGTTTCTGCTGCCTTGGCCATGGCAAAAATAAATTGATTGAAAACCTCAACCCCAAAAAAATATGCCCCCAGGGGATGCATTAGGAACTTGACATTTTTTCTCAACTCAGTCATATTCATGCCAATTTTCAGCTTTCCATGTCTCCCCATTTGATTGAAGAAAAAACATTCATTTGAAAACATTTTCCCCCAAAATCTGTATATATCCAGGGCATATACTTCCAAAGTAGGAATTTTTCTGGACTCGGCATCCTAGTAGAAACCCATGTACCGTGTTCATTCTTCCATAGCATCTAGAACATAGTTAGAATTAGTGTCAGTCAGTCAGTTGCTGAGTCATGATGGTCTATATATAAGCCTACCCATCCAAAAGCTATACCCTGAGGGGATGCTCCATGAATGCTGATTTTTTCCCAAACTCAGGTGCTTGTCCACTGAGAGGTTCTTGTGAGATAACTTAACATCCCTTCACCTCTTACATGATAGTGAAGGGGAAGTGGCATATTTTGGCTGAAGAGTCAGGGGGGAGGAGCATGGCAGCAGAGCAGGGACACCAAACCCCATCTGAGCAATATTGAAATAGAATTATTGCCTCAGATGAGATACCAGTGTGGCCAACCTTCAACCAACCAATGACGTATTTTACAGAGGGGGATGGCCCTCTGTAAAATTCGTCATTGCAAAGAGGGTTTGCACAGTTTCCCTCTTCTGAGAGGGGTCTGCAGATTAAAAACAGTTGAGAAACCCTGGTCTAGAGCAATGGAACTGCTGACATTCCTTTCGGTCATTTATATCTTGTTGAGGTTGACTACCCTACTTACACGAGTTCCTGCTCTCAACTGCCAGGTGTTGCCTAGGTCATTTAACCCTTGGAACCCTTGGTTTGACTCCCTGGATGCCCTTAGGGCATCGTGCTAAAAATACGCAATGTCCAGTGCAAATCTACTGATAGGTTAAGATGTAGCACAATGGGGTTCAATGAATCCAGAAACATCAGATTGCCCAGCCCAGTAGTCAAATCATTGATTTTTGCTATGGAAGCACATGACAATTGTGGTCCTGATTATCCTGGGCAATGACCAATCAGTATGGAACTCCTAACCCGAATTCATCATTCATGTTTGGGTTTGTCTTGGTCACCCGCAAACAAACCCCCTCTATCATGATATGATCTGAGATACCATGACTTTCCAAATCGCAACATGGACATGTGAACCATCAAAGGACAGGTTTATTACTCTTTTCTCAACATACTTTAATGATACTCCAATAACAACAGTTAAGATTTTTATATTACATGCTAATTATTGCACATAATATAAAAATCTTAAACCTATATTAATTATGCTCTTTGGTGCTTATCCTTTCCATTGAAAAATGTACAATTTGTAAGCATCAGCCTATTCCACTCAATGCCAAGCCAAACCAAATCTCTTGTGCAGTGATGATGGAGAACAGAGATGTGTTTCAGATTAGGGAAATTTACCTTTTTATGTACAGTTTCTTCAGATAACTTCCTCAAATATTCATGTGAGATTTTGTTTTCTTTATCAATCCATAGGTTGGTAGAAATAATTTCCGTCCTCCACCAAAAGTTGAATCAAGTGTGGTCCGTTTGGAACCAAAGAATCCGCCACCAGCCATCAATTTCAAGGAGTGGGATGGACTGGTGCGAATTGCCTTCCTCCGGAAGAACAAGACCCTTGCTGCTGCCTTCCTCCAAGGTTCTGTGCTAGGTGTTCTCCAGAAGAACCTCTCCCTCCATTGTTCCCTACAGAATCAGGTAAACCTCATCTTGTATGCAGTTGGTCTCAACTATTTGAAAATCCTAAATATTTCCTGTTAACATGGCAGACTTTGCCAGATGGGTTCAGCATGAAGGAAAAGATTAAAGAAATCCTAGAAGGGATTGGATTCGATAAGAAGAGGGCACGAACCATGGACATGGATGATTTCCTTTTGTGAGTCTTACATAGTAGTCCCTTCCTTATTTAAATATCACATGAATTTCATAGCATTTTCAACTCCATTTCTCCTTTTCAGAATCCTGCATGCCTTCAACAAAGAAGGCATTCATTTTGCTTGAGCCATCTGTGATCTTTTCTACATGCTGTTGATTGCTTGACAAACTCAATGAAGTCCTACAATTCTAGATGCTGTGCTTAGCATCAAATATTGGTGCAGTTTTCAAGTGGTGTTTATTGTAAGACTTGAAAGCCCTCCTTTCTCAGCTTTTGAGGAGAGGTGCCTGGAAAAAGGCTGCTTTTGGGCAGGACCAATCTCTTCACTTTCAGTTATTTGAGGAAGAAAAAATACTGATATTTTTACACTGACTATATTTGCACCAAATGAAAATTGAACAAGCAAAATATAAAATACATGGAGTTTTTGCCGTATCAGCAAAATCAATGAAGGCTTAATTATAGATACCATATTGACTTGAATAATTTTACAGTCTTAAGTCTTTCCTGGCTGTCATTTCATTATAGAGGTTCCTTTAAGATTTTTTTACATCAAATGGGATGATATGGCATAAATACAGCCTCACTTATGATTGAATGACATTGACAGAATGTTCAAGACCTACCCAGAGAGAATAAGAAGAATATGAGAGAAGAATGTGGAAGGGAATCTCTTTGGAGGATGGACAAGGAGAGAAGGGTGTGAAAAAATTTGCACTTACATAATTTCATAAAATATTCTAATTTCTGATAATGGCTTCTGCTTATGTTTCTGTTCAGCAATATATATTGATGCAGTGTATGAAGATGAGGACAAGGTAGAGGTCAGAGATGGAGATTCTGATGGTATCTCTGTGACATCCAGCCAATGGGCCTATCTTCCAGATGTTCTCCTTGAGGACATTTTCTCCTATCTCACCATCCGGGAACGCTACTATGCATCATTGGTGTGCTCCAACTGGGCACGGGTGTTCAACTCGCAACAAGTTTGGCGCACTTTCATCCTCGATGATTACACCCTCACACGACGCAAGTTCAACTACTACATGGGTTATCAGGTCAGCATGGAAAAACTGCCCTCACTGACCTGAGATGACCTTTCTTTGACAAACCATTCACATTGACACAGTATGTACTGGACCACCTGAGAACACAGGTGTGTCTGAAGACAATTGGGAGCTTCATCCGTCACCTGGTGATTCAGCCCATGACAAATTTCTTCAACCTGTATGAGTTTATGAACATGGTGAGTTTCATGGAGGAGAGGAACCCAGGCTGCATTGGGCGCATCCACTCACTCAAGTTCACATTTGCGTGCCACCTTGCCCAGCGGACAGAGCAGCTTGTATTTGGAACAGGAGGACCTCTCCTTGAGGCTCTAAAGGTAACCTCTTTCATTTATGATGTAGTGGGAAAAATAATGTTTCTTTCCCTTCATTTTAAATTTTTATACGAGGTGAACTTAAGGTTATTTTTATTTTTTGCCATCAAATTCCAATTGAATCAAATTGAATTGACGCTTATTTTTGACTGGAGTGGATAATTCTGTACCATGTAACACCTCTAATCAGTACAAATGGGTTGTGAAATGCCTGTGAAGAGTACAGTCATCCCCCGATGTTACGTCGTAACTGGTTCCGAGACCGGCGACGTTAGTCGAGACGACGTAAGTCGAGACAGTACGGTGTTGCCGACTACTTGCAGTTGAGATACCAATTCATGGACGACGTAAAGGCAACGTAATACAACGTAGGTACGAATTGTGCGCTTGGCTTAATATATTGGGTCTGGGGGCAAACGACGTAAGTGCGGAACGACGCAAGTCGGGGGATGACTGTATAGTTTTACTGCAGCTCTTTTTGTATGTGTAAACTGAGGATGCAGGGGCATACAGGCAGTGTGAGGAGCAAACATAAAACCCAGGTAAAACATTAGGTCTTGGGACAGGCAAAAAGCATTTGAGAGGGAGAAAGGGAGGAAGAAAGAAAGAAAAAGAGAATGAATGGTTCTCTTGGCCCTACTCCACTCTTCAATGTTTGGAATCATATCCAGAAATGAATCTTTGCAATATTATACAAGTTATTCTGTATACTTCCGAAAGGCAAATTAACTCTGGAATGGAATTTTCAATCTCTAATACTGTTTAATGCCACTACATAACAGAATGAACCAGATTGCTATTGTAATTACCATTTAGTTTTATGAGTTTGTTATGAATGGAGTTGGATAATATTGAAGTACACTTTCAGAAACATAAACACCTGGTATAAGTGGAATCTACAGTAAAGGTAGCAAATCTGATATGGTTTTCAGAGGGACCTCTTCCTCCTACCTTAAAGGGAGGACTTTGAGAACAAAGTGCTTTAGAGTGCTCAAACTCAATGTTCTGCATAGATTCTTAGGGGGCTGTACCAATCTATCAACAACCACTGGTGTCATGGCCACTGGTTTGGCACCATTGGTGCCATCAGCCATGAATAGGTTTGCAAACTGCCGATGCCATTGTCCAAAGATGAAGATCCCAAACAAAGAAAAAATATTTAAAAAGAAACATGTGAACGCTTTACAGCAAATGATATTCAATGGCAATAGGAGAGGAGTACCCAGGTAATTCATCCACGTGGAAACAACATTGAAACAATGTTTCACACCAACAATGTCATTTCAACATTTTCAATGTTTAAATTTTCAATGTTCAACCTTGGAGGCTTTGGAAAATCGCATGCAATAGAAAAAAATAACCACTGTGCCCGTCGCGATTGTGCAGTGTGTATTGCACGATGTAGTGGACCGTGCGTGAGAATGTGTCGTGATGGTGGCCACCTTAGTCACGTAATTTTCCAAAAGTGACCTACCTATGTGATTGTCCTAGAATTTCCACATGCCCAGGATGCCATGGGAACAGATATCAGTATGAAGTCATTTGTCATGAGTCTTTCATTTCCACTTATAACCTTGGAGGTATTTATGCACCACCCTGTATTTTGCTTGGGCGTCCGCAAGAGCCATGCGCGGCGCCTTTTTCTGCCTGGCTTCTGTTGTCTGTCACGCTCCCTCGAGCTTGCACTTTCTTTCCGGCAGTTGCGGCTGTCGCGTCCATACTCGAGAACGGGAGAGAGGGGAATTGTACGTCTTGCGCACCTCCCCCCCCCCCCACACACACTTGGGGGGGGGGGGGGGGGGGGGGTCACACCTCCATGCGGACTTTCCCGCAGGGACATGCAAAACGCCCCAGCTATTTCACTTGGAGTCCCCTTTCATCCCCCTGGAAGAAAGACTTCCTCGCCGGGATGAGATCTCCGCGCCCATATATTTATCGGGATCTCGGCCCCTTTATTGATCAGAACCCCTACCTCGTATTGATCGTACCGATCTCACAGGGCGAGTGACTCCCGAGGGTGAAAACTGCGAGATTCCATCTGGATGGGATGAACTTTCACGCGGGAAAACCCACGTACAACACATGGAGACCCGTTTTGCTCCACGCGAAGGAGAGTAACTCCCTTGGGTGAAAGCGGCGGGATCCCATCAGGGTGGGATAGAACAGGAAGGCTTAGCCTTGGATTACAAGGACGCCGCCGGTCGTGTCGTTACCATCCCATTTCCATATCCGTATGTTTCGCTCAGGCTTGCATGAAAAGGGATGGAGATGGACTTTACGGACGAAGCGGACAGGGTTGTGATCAATAGGAAAATGTGCCGATTAATAAAGGGTCAGGATTCCGATAAATGTAAGGGCGAAGATCTCACCCCGGCGAGGAAGTAATCCTTCCTTCAGTAGGATGAAAGAGGACTCCTAGGGTTATACATGGGGACGTGTAAAGAATGGGAAAGACTTAATCTTAGAAAGACTACTGTTTATAGTGATGAGAGTGCCACTTAGTTTTGGGGCCGCCGAATGAACTCCAGAATTCTTGCCGAAGAGTTCGTGGAAGTCTTCCACAGTTCGGCTAGTACTACATTGATTCAATATGAAAATGTCTTTTTTTTTTCTACATTCCTTGTTAATGTTGAAGCAATATTGATAACACTCATTCAGCATCATTTCCACATTGCATCAACATTCATTTAACATCCATCTATGAATCTCTGATAATTATGTTCCTCCATGGAGCTAAGTAAAGGTAAATTCAACGTTAAGAATCACTGATCTATGGATAATGAACTATGCCTACTGAGCAGAGTAAATCCTCTTCAGCTCTGATAGGTCAGTACCCAGAGGATGGAGTACTGAAGTGGTTGAAAGCATATGTCCTCTTTAGTTCTGCAAATGGCACTAGGTTATTGAGCAGATTGAGAGTGAACTCCCATCAGTTCTCATTTTTTAATCACATGTGGGCTACTACATGCTACTGTTTGGAGCATTCTACTTGGGTCTCTAATCACATAGACTTCTGCATGCCCATTCTAAATCTGGACATTTGATTTGTTTCAGGATCAGACACTGCAATCAGAACATCCTAATTCCACATTTTCCTGATATCTGTTCATTAATTAGATAATAAAAAGAAAGGGGGAAGAAATCACTTTTATGTAGGACAGATCCTTCATTGCCTTAGGAGGCTGCAGGGGAACATGGAAAGCATCTACTGTGGACTCTTGGTACTTTTATGATCACACTTATGCCACACTATGCTGGTAGCACAAAACATTGAAACAACATTGATCCAATTTTCATCGTCAACCCTCAACATTTGCACATTCAGTCCATATCCAATCAATATTGATTCAATGGTATGTTACCTGGGTAGGTCTGTCATGATGCATTGATGGCTTCATTTTAAATTGCAATGCCCCCTTCCCCATTTCCAACCCAATCCTGGAAGAGATGATGGAAAACAGCAAGAGGTCTGCATCTATATCAAGGCAAGAAACGACAGATGTCAAACCTACACCAGAGTGAGACACAAAGTGACTGAATCTCCCTATGTACCACAAACAAATGTGCTCAATGACTGAACTGTGGGAGGCATTCAATCACAACCCTGACTTCTCCTGACACTTCAGTTACAATTATTCTATGCTTTCACTGCAACAACCAGTATTCACCCTACCTTGACACCCATGCACCTCCAGTTTAGTCAGTAACCTCTCATGAGGTACAGTCCTAAATACTTTGACAAAGTTTAAGGCTTGAATGCTGAAAGCTCTTAGTAAATGACCCATTATTAACCCTTTAAATCACATGAAGGTACTCAAAGGAAAACGACAAATGCCAAGGTGAATATCTAAGTTTAATTTTAAAAATCAGTTTACAGTGACTTTGACCTTAATTTAGTGACATTAGGTGGATTTATGATAGCTTTTATCATTGGAATTTATTTGCATCAGGTTTGTTTGTGAACTTGCAGTTTTGATGTTATATTTCCCACTGTGCTGTTGTAGACTTGTAATGAAAAGTAAGATTTATGCAAATTCTAGGCATAAATCTTACTTGTGCAAAAAATGCAGGATGTTATCATGTCTGCTCACACTACTGTTTGCCAGAGGAAAGGCAAGTGGCAGGACCCCACAGCACCTAGTGAGCATTTTTCATACTACCTCATCTGACACATTCATTAGCTAAATGGCAGCACAAGCTCAGGCCTGAGCCTTCAACCACCTGTGAGCCATTTGTGTTTATAGATGCCAGGAAATAGTTTTTCTCAGAGAATTATAGGGTTAAGAATCCATGAACTCTTAGGGCAGTATTCACATCACTCCCTTAGTTAACGGATCCCTTAAGAGTTAAGAGACCCCTAGCTAAGGGTTCCCTTAAAGATGATAGCGGAAAAGGCTGGAACATAGGACTCCCCCCAGGGGTTCTGTATTCGTTCTTCTCCTGGCTTGGGAATCCCTTAATGCACCCCTAAGAGACATAGGAAGTTGGAAAGAAATTAGGGGAACCTTTGGTTGCCCTTAGCAGATTCCTGCGAGTTCATTGCAGTCTTTCAGAGCATTGCCTCTCCAGATTTGTGTTTTTGCATTTGGTTACTGATATTGGATTCAGCGTTTTCTTTTACCTGTCCATACAGATCATGCTCTTCTAGTATTTTATCATTTGATTGACATTCCTGTCATACATGTTGCATCAATGTTTTCCAACATTGATGCAACCTGACAGATTTTTAAACTTTGATAATTTTGCGATTCTGAGTGAATGTTGTTGTGCAGACAGTTTTTGTTACACGTCTTATTCATAGATTCAGAAATACTTTAATAAATTCATTTTTCAACAGAGTTCCTTAACATAGTAAACTTTACAAATCATTTTCTTCTTGGTTTATAACAGGTGCTAGCAGGTACTTCTCAGATGCTAAGATAAAAATGAACCAAAAAATCTGACTGAAGTTATAGTATATCCATCAAAGGATTCCACATCAGATCATAAGACAGTTTCTCATCTGCAATCAGGAAGAATTCTTAAAGAGATTTCAATTTCCAAGCAGGCTGTTCTATATGTTGCAGATAGTTGTGGTTCTATTCTGCAGGAATCAAATCGAGGCTACACATTGTTGCCAGTTCAAAGAGTCCTTGCTGCTTTGTGGTATTTGGCAATGAATTCATTTTGAGTCATTGCAGATTTGAGAGATATAGACATGAGTCAGGCCTCAGCATCAACTCCATATCCTAAAAAGTTCCCATCTGAAGAAATATAGCAGTAGGCATGTATTCACTGCATCTGGCATTTTCCCACAGTTACAGTATATCACCATTTCCAGGGCTAGGCAGGGGAAAATGCATTAGTAATTCATTGTGTGCCACAATATCTCACTACCCAAAGAATGTGCTGTTGCTGATAGAGGATTGAGAATCACTGCTCTATAGCATAATGCAATAAGCTAGGCTGGATACCTAAAAAAATAAACTCACCTTCAATGAATAAGCATCCAAGTCCTGCTTGACATCCATCCCAGAGTTTTTTTTTTTTTTTTTTTTTTTTTAGTTGGGGAACCTTTATAGGTTCCTTAGCAGGAAACTGAATTTTCTTAGAAACAAGGAACTTTTGCCAGCAATCTGATTTAGCTTTATTGGTGACTGAATCAGATTTCTTGATTTCAAGAACTGCAGAGTGTTTCCAAAGGAGAACTTTGAACTTCTCCTTTATAAAGTTTTCCTTTCTTGACCTTCTGCTCATGTTTACACCAAATCATGAGAATATGAGAACTAATCGATAAGCAATGAAGCTTATCAACACTGACATGATTTGGAGATAACAGCAATAATGAAAGTATAATTGTAATTTTTTACTTGAATATGAATAATTTATTTTCATTGTGTATGAGCACAGGTCCTCTGACTTCTGTGTGTGGCTAGGCCACCAAGATCAAAGCATTCCAGTGCATGCTCCCTCTCCTCCCATCTTCCTAAAGGGGTCCCCTAACTGTTATGATATACTGTTCCTGGGAGAGTGATGTAAATATGGTCAGTGACCTGGAAAGTGTGCAAGCAGCAGAATGAAGGCGTTTCCTCTTCTAAACTACTAGCATGCACTGTTTGATTACAATGGTTTCTAACTTCTTTGAAACATGACTAATAGCCTCGCCTCGCCACAATGCATTTGAATGAAATTCCGCGAAGCTCTTGAAAAAGATATCAGCCTATGCTTAGTGCAAGTTTCATGGTAATAGCTATAGTCAGAGGAGAGATTTATAAAGTTTGGAGTGGAAGGTATAATTTTTGCTGTGACTTCTACAAAGCAGCACCAAGTTTTATTTGATGACATCATCTTCAATTGGTTGACCAGAATGAAAGAACAGTTTGCTTTTCTTTAGATGGGAATTTGCACTCTAAGACACTCATAAGTGATGAAATGTCAAGCCAAAAATCTATGAATGAGGTGCAGCAGGAGATAGAGTGCATCAAATACCCAGGCATCCAGAAGGGAACACAGGAAGCTCTCTTATCTTCTCTTCTACTAGCGTTGGGTTAAAGGATACCTTAGATAGGGACAGGAGCATGAATTCAGAACATCTAGGGGGTCCCTAACTTTCTTGAGTTAGGGGTCCCTTAATGGTTGGGGGAGCGATGTGAATATGGGCCTTAACCTTTGTGGAAAAAGAGCTATTTAGCATAAAGGCCCCATTATCATGCCTAAAGGAGGTTGCCTATTGACTTTGAACATGCATTTATGTCTAGCAAAAGAATGTAAGATTGCCTTTATCCATCTAATTCATCACTCAATCATATAATTCACAGAGATTGGAATGACAATTTAATTTGCTCCATAAAGCTGTCTTAACATTCTCATATAAGTGAGTTTCCCATAAAAATTCAAAGATATCATTCCTTAAAAAAAAAATCAGATTAACAAGGGGAGCTTTAGTGCATGATCACTAATTGAGTGACAGTCACATGGTATTTTTTCTTTACAATGCTGTTTCTGGCAGTTGTGCAGCAACTTCTCTCCTCTGCCTTCTTGAAACAATCATTTCAAAACAGCAGACTTCATTCCTTATTAGTTTCTTCCATTCATCCTAAAATGTTATGCTTCCAAGGTCAATAATAGGGCTGTTCAAGGAGTATCATTCTTGGTATCACTATGACCAGGATATACTGCTCCGATTTTTTGAAAGACTGCACTGCATTATTTGGAGTGTGTTGAGATGACATTATGTCTTCCTTCTGTCTGAGTCTGAATGTGGATGCATTTTGATGAACATCGTGGAGGGGGGATGTGTGTGGGTGTGACAGCGTCTGATGTGGAATCTGGCAAGTCTCAAGGAGCTGGAGCTGAATGACCTCCTTCTGGAACGAGAAGAGGGACTGCATCTCCTTGATGAGGTGGCATTTATGGCATGTGAACGCTTGCTCAGACTTCGTGTCACCAATGCCACCCGCCCATACTGCCCCCTGCTCCATGCAGGCATCTTCATTGCTCTCAGGGATCTCACCCTCTCTCCTATCTCCCTCGATCAAGACCTCATCCTCCTCCTTGGGTCTCTCAACCTTTCTGTTGTGCTTCTTACTAATCCATTTTCCTGGAGTGTTTGTGATGTAAATGTGGTCGCTTGAGATGAACTGTCCGTTGACTGCATAGGATAACCCAATGTCCTGTTTTTGTATGCCTCCTATATGACCAATGGACTCTAATCAATGGTTTTCTTTTGTGCATTTTTCCTGTTGCCAACTTGTGAAGTCATTGCTAAAAGAGTATCCATGTGTAGTATGTGTCATCTTGATGCAGATACTAAGTCCCTGATTGACAGAAAGAATGTCTAATGATTTAGTTGACTGGTCTGCTAATCATTATTGCTTGTTGTCCCTTTTTCAGTGAGTTTCTTATGCACTTACAGTGTATTCATAATATGGACATAGCATTAGTATAGCTACTAGAAATAAGTTGGTATCACCAAAATAATTAGGACATGCCAGGATTCCATCCACTGCATTGAAATACTTGCTGCCCCAATATTTGGACATGCAACTGAGCCTAGTTAACACAAATTTATGAAGTTTTGAATAGGCCAGATGCTTGTCTTCTTTGATAGGAACTCCAGATTGAAATTCCAAAATGTGGGCAAGAAAATATACATGTAGTACATGCCAGAAGGAAAAGCAATGGAATCATGAAGTGGAGAGTTCATCATGGGAGAGAAAGAAGGTTTTTTTGCATCTCAGTGATGAAAACCTGTTTCCCTTAGCTGAGTATTGACATTCATGCAAATTTAGTGTTGATGAAGAATACTACTTCCATGAGGAGAAGACAAGGCCAATTTCAATTTCCTCTGCTAACTCTTAACCATCACATTTTCAATGCATGTGTTTGTCTTATTTTAATTTTTCCTGTACTACCCCTACCATGGATTCATGAATCTGTATGAATGCCTTTGTTCATTTCATTCTGATAGTGTTCTGAGAAATCATGATGATACTTGTGGCAAGGCACAAGCAAGTGGAGCAGTTTCAAGGAAGTGGGGGAGATCAAATCAGATTTGATGGAAATGTCATATTTTGGTATGCATTATGGCCAGACCAAGCAGCTCAAAAAAATGTTGCCCTTGCCTGTCCCATGATGCCACAGTAGGGTGCCACAATTGCAAAATGCATGTTTATGAAGAAATGCAAACTCTTAAATGCATGTTAACCTCTTGAGGACAGATGATGTTCATAAATGCAAATTTTCCAGAACTGAAACATGTTAGTATAATTTCAGTTCAGCAAACTATGGGGAGTTCCCTAAGGCTTTGTCATCATCATTCATCAAAGATACAATAATAAGCACCTAGTAAGTGAATACAATCCACATCTCAAAAATGTGCTTTTTTGGTCAAATTAATTCCATTTGAGGGGCAATTTGGCAAAAAAATAGTCTTGTCCCCAAGTGGTTAAGTATTAATACTTGATTGTTTATGATTCTGAAGAAATCAGTTCCTCATCATAGAAGTAATTTTAGGAAAAAGTGATAAATTCAAGGTCATGAATTATGTTAAGTTGTCCTCGTGCAACATTTCAGTACAGGGACATAAACTTGGCCCACTTACATTTGTGCATGTAATTTTTTTTTTTTTTTGCAGAGAGTGGTAGTCTATATCAATGATATATTACAATCCCATGCATGGAATGTTCTGGATTTATAGGTTTTGCCTTCTAGTTTTCCTTACTATGGAATTGCATGTCCCTTTGGAAGAAGAGTATCAAGAGAGGGCAATATGATGTCAAAAGGAGAATGCCAACTATTTTGAAAATTATCTGATGACATTTGTTTTTAAATATCCATTTTGAATACTACGGTTATAATGTGAGGTTCTCCCATTCATTATTGATATAAAAGCTCTTTTAATTTTGGGATGTAGAGGCACACATCTGGAGGAATTCACTATCATACAAGATGAACACTCAGAGTCTGCACCAGCAGTGCCATCAAAGGCATGGAAGGAGTGTCGAAAGGGTAACCCCAGGCTCCGAGTCCACCTTCTCCTCCGTGGTCCCACCCGCACTGACCTCACCTGGCAACCAGGTGCACCTGTCACTTCCATCATCTATGACACCCCCTATTCCCAGGTATTCCTCATCCAACTTAGAAGAGAATGTGATTTGACTGTCAACTTGGCATCATTGCCTTTGGGATGAATATGGGAAAATATTTACTGGGTATCTCAGAGAAGACTGACACATTTTACTTTTATTTGGTATTTTTATTTGTTGATAATAACATATACCACATTCATTAGCTAGCATAGACATTGGAGATTTGTGGGGAAAAGAATGCTTTTCATTTTCAGTTTTTCAATTTTTGTAAATGACATTTTCCAATTATCCTTCATGGACACTGATGCATTCTTGCACCCTGACAAGCCCCTCCTTCAGACCACAGCAAGCACACAATGGAACCAACATGCCCCATTGCATGCTTACAGAATGGAGCCTGTTGTGAAAAACAGTTGAAAAGTTTTCGTACAGTGAACTATTTTCTGTTGTTCCATGGCAAAATTAAATTCCAGACCTTGAAGAATGTTATAACCTGTATAACAAAGAGAAAGATCAGCCAACAATACTTTTTATATATTTCTTTTGTGTTGGTCTTCACTGAGACATCATGTATAAATTGTCAACATGCTTTTTTTCTCCAGCATTGCTTCATAAGTAGTATGTTGATTATGTATTTTGTGTGACTATGTCCTCATTCAGTTGGGTACTGGTGCAGCAGTGACAGCAGTGGATTTGTACTCAGATTCTTTGGAAGTGTTTGGTCACTTGCGCCTCCCTAGGTTTCATGCTCCACGTCCCTTTGTTGACCGTGGGGATTCTCACCTCATGCTGCTTGCACGGCGGTGCCCTCATCTTCACACTTTTGTATGTTCCTCTCATTTCTCGAATGCTAACATTTCCAATGAAATAAAAATCACAGGAGTTCTCAACTGATTGTGCCCACTCTGTTCAACTATTCATTGCAGCAATGGTTGAGTTACTTCCAAAAGTAACTGGTTACAGGTGCAAGTTAGGTGTTGCATGCAGACATCAAGTTAGTAGTATTCATCACTGGCAGATTGAATTGCCCATATTGTTTCTACCAGCATGAACTTGTCTTCAGCCACATTCAGCTACCAACATTGTTCTAAACCCAATCTGCATCAGCCAAAGTCTTGGATAAACTTGTAAAAAGATATGGGAAAGAACACGAACTCTCAGAATATCTGCCATATTTGCTAAGACCATGTCACAATTGCACCAATGCTTAAATATCATATGTCCAAGGCCTCTATGCAACTTAACATGACAGACAAGAAGGCTGGATTGCAGCCATCATGGACATTTGTTTAAGTGTCTGCCAACACATTAGAACTTGGAATATTAAACTTTCTATTACCAAAAAGTGCAATTGTCCCCTTTATAAAGATATAAAAATGTTACTCAAAATATATTATTGATATTTGTTCCAAAGGGGCCTTTGGCTTATAATTAAAATTGAATCTGACCATATTAGAACATACTAGGTGAGCAACACTAGTTCATGAACAGGCACCAGATAGCCAATGATGAGCCATGAGATGCAAGCTGGCACCTTGCTTCTTTGATGTCAAACCTCATCCCTTGTACTAATTCATTGGTCAAGCCCTTTTCTACATGTCCCATAAGCTTAACATGGAATGCTTGTCAAAGGAATAAAATGAAAAATGCATATTTTTCATCTTCCATAGAAAGGCATGGGTTTTTATGTGCTGTAGCTAAGACCATCACCTTCTTCGTGCATCAAACATTCCTCCACCCTGCCACACTATACTATACTATAGTGATACTTAGAGAAAGGCTTGTGGCAGGCATTTCCCATTTGCAGATGTTCTGTGTTCAATGGACATTCCATGACCTTCATGCAAGCTGGAGAGTTAAACCAGAGTCCAGACCAAACTTCATAAATTTGGTTTCACTGACATTCTAGTTTTTCTTTCATGATTCTCTCTTTCACCCAGACTGTTTTGTACTTACACAGAAAAGGAATCTCAGTACAGATTGAAGGTGCTTTATTTCCTGATATGCTGTTCCAATGCAAAACTCTGTGATGCTTCATATTTAAGGATTTCTTCTCCTTTCTTCATCCCTAGGTGTGTTCATTTTTGTACCTTTGCCAAGGATGCCAGTGGTACTCAAAAGTGCAAATGTTTACTCAGGAAGATCAGTTATTATTTCATGATTTCATCTGATGTAGAAATAAATCGATACATCTGGCTCATTAGTTTCTAGCTTTTTTAAATGTAGGGTCATTCACAAATTGGTTCAGCAGGTATTGGCTGACAGGGGCAAGCTGTCCTTCAGATTCGGGCCTTTAGTAATTTAGGCTGTCCTGCAATAAATTCATGAGATAGACGTTGACATGACTTGCATGAAAATTATCCGATTACTTCTAGAAGATAGAGGAGAGCAGGAACAGCATGAAGGATGCTCTTCGGTGTGAATGCCTGCCTGTTGTCCCATGGCCACTCCTTAGCATATTTGCTAACCAGGGTCCTTTCCCCTTACTCCCAATAATTGTGGTCACATGATGCTCCAAGATTGATTTAATGCACCAAACACAAAAGGATGTCTTGAGCCAGTGAATTATTTTCACAAAATGAAACATACCAATCTTCTGCTGATGGGAATGCATTTGGCTGTTCTTGCTCTTGATTCCATTACCACAGATTTTGGCCCAAATCCATGCCCAAAAATTGTCACAGCAGGGGAATCTGAATTTTTGGATCATGATTAATCTATTGAACTCAGGACAATAATGTGAATCCAATCATCCTAATTTTGCTCTGAGACAACTAATTCCTGGATTTGATTATTATATGAATTTGCACTGAGTTGCAGTTGGCAGAAAATGTGAGGTTAATGTAAGGTTGTTTGCAAACTAGTCCAATAGCTGTTCACCATCTTGGACAAGGTGTTTGCTGTCTATGAAATTCAGGTTTGCCGTGTTTTGAGCTGTCCTGCAGCAAATGTATGCAATAGAAGATGATAGGATTTGCATGAAGAGATGACACCTTGGAGTGGGAGAAAAGCAGGATCAACTTGAAGAATGCTCTCTGTGTGATTACTTCTCCTTAGCTTGTTTGTTAACTGTTCCCCTAAAAAAGAATCTTTCACTAGCATATTCCAACCTTCTTGATATGTCCAGGAATATTATTTGCACTATCTGGCAAACTAAAATATACAAAATGATATGTAAGTCCATCTAATATTGTATATGTATTATTATTTTATTATTTTATTTTTATTATTATTATAGTATTATTATTACTATATTATAGTATCACAGTATTATTTTTGCATCTAAAAGTAAAGCTATTGGTATGGAATGATGAAGTCATTTACTTGAGCTGTAAGTTGTTGAAAAATCCTAAAGGTAGCAATTGAATAAAATAATGAATTTTATTCAATCCCTGTGCAAATAAATGAAGTTTTCTAAATGTAAGTGCATGAGGTAAATGAGAGAGTGTATTTTTTTTATGAGTACCATTCACCATAGTGCACCAGAAGCAAAAAACTCAGCACAGGGATGTGTAAAGAAAAAAAATCAGTAAAAGATTTTAGGTATTTAAAGTATGGATGTTTCACAAAAATGTTTACCATTTTGAATTGCCATGATTCATTATTTCAATGAGCATTCACCTCAAACAAAAAAAGATTGCAGAGAAACTCAAAAATTTTGCCCTGATGGAAAACAAGTTCCTCTATCTGCAGAACATCCTCGATGACATCGAGAGGTTTGTACTGCTGCCTTTAGTACTTCCTGTGGAATGCCTCAAACTGCCTGTTGACTCATTCCCTTGAGTTCGGCAATATCTGGCTTGTCTCAAAGGCTTCATTCTTGCTGTATCCCCATAGGTAAAAGTCAAGTGGACCAAGATCTGGGGATCATGCCTGCTATTCAATGTCATCTCGCAGAGAAATGAGGCTCTGAGTGAATCTCTCTCTCAGCCACTCAAGACTAATGTGGGCAGGATGATAGGTTGCCTTATCTTGCTGGAAAAAATATACTATTTGTGCATATTCAAGTATCATTTAAGAGGACATTTTTCTGGCAGAAATCCTCATTGTGGAATATTTTTCCAGCAAGATGGGGCAACCTGTCATACTGCCTGCATTTGTCTTGAATGGCTGAGAGATTCACTCAGAGACTCATTTCTCTGTGAGATGACATTGAGTGGCTGGTGTGATCCCCAGATCTCAGTCCACTCGACTTTTACCTGTGGGGATACAGCAAGAATGAAGCCTTCAGGACAAGCCAGATATTGCAGAACTCAAGTGAATGAATCAATGGGCAGTTTGAGGTGTTCCACAGGAAGTACTGAAGGCAGCAAAACTTCTCTCTACATCTTCCAGGCTGTTCTGGGGCTAGAGGCACATTTTGAATGTTTTCCACTAGAACAATATTTTTTTAGTTTCTCTCCGATTTTATCTTTGTTTGAAGTGAATGCTCGTAATAAAGAAGCTATAGCAATTAACAATGGGAAACATTTTTGTGAAATACCCAATCCACCAAAAACATCCTATATGGCTGATGTTGAATTAGATTGCAGCTTGTCCACTTAGAAGTGACTGTTAACCTTGCTGGAATTGCATAATCATACGTCCTTTCCTATAACTTTTGACATTTTTGTTTCATTTTGCTCAAGCTTCCAATGTTGCAGATATTCATTCAGCTATTCACTATGAAGAGTGGCTTTGTCTATTCTCCTGCAGCTAATCCGAGAAAGGGTGTCCACATCCACACTACTCCTGTTGGCCCACACAGCCCGGTCCCTAAAGAGGATGTATGTAAGACGTCAAGCAGTGATTTTGAGGTCTGATTGGCCCCAGCAGAATGATTGGAGTTCTGAATTTGCAATGTGGCTCAAGCACTCTGCACAATCCTACCAGGTCAGTAGCCATCCAGGAGTTTCCATTCCTACTTAGGACATGCGTGGTGGTAACAAGAATGTACCATCACCATAGCACCTTCAATGGGTCTTGTCACCTTTTGCAGTCCTGCATGATTTTGTTTGGCTGTCTCCAGAAAAAGTATCAATTAAAATATGTGAGACACATTCTAGCTAGATAAAATGAATGCATCTCAATGAATCAAATTATTTAGTGATAGTGTTTCACTTGAGAATGCTGCATGCCCAGCAGCATCACAGCCAGCCTTGCTATCCGTCTTTTTTTCAATGATGCAATAATTTTCTTGAGTGAAGTCTAGCTGAGCAACCAAGCTTCCATACGTGCCTATTTGGATTTTCCCTCAGGGCCTTCATCTCTGAGTGCAGTAGTCAACATGGGAATGGAAATGATAGTGCCAACGGGATTAATTTTTTAGAGTGAAGCTTCACTTTACCAAAAATATGTTCATAAAAAATGTTAATTTGAACTGAAACAGAAAATGCTGGAGTTGAGAAGATAGAGACAGGATGAAAGTAACACATAACCTTGATGGCACATCACAACAGCAAACAGCTCTATGAATACCTTGAATGTGGAGTTATGCACTTCCTGTGTAGCACTAAATTTGTGTGAAGTGTTTCAATGCTTTGTCAACAATCTGGTCTTGCACAAATGTGCAAAGGTATCTATGGCATGAAGAGGAATGCATGGCTTTCATACAAAGGAGACAAGGATGTTTTGTTGTGCATCCCCTGCTGTCCAAGGAATCACACAGTGACCTTTGTTGTAGATCACCGAGGAAGAACTTGGGGGTCTGCTGAATCATTGCTCATGGAGGATGCTTTCTGATCAGCAGTTCAAGCAAATCCACATCAATCCAAAGCAAAGACCATGAGACTTTTTTCATCATCTTCATTTGAGCAACAAAAAAAAAGTATATAAATAATTAGAAAAATTGGAACAGGCCTGGTCCATGTTCATACAACAGTGTGGCGCAGGATGGAACACAAGGATGAGCAAGGAGGCAGAGGAAGGAATACTGATGACGAACACCCGTGTGATATTTGCTGCTTTTTTTCTTCGTCGTCTTAGCTGCACTTGTTTGCTGAGGTAGACTTGGCTCCGTCTTGCGACATCACATCTTTGGTCATTCTTCTCTCATCCTCCTTTCATCACCTGTATTCATCAGTTATTGAATTATTGGTTGATAAATTTCAAGGAGTGAATAAAGCTCTTCAAGCAGCTCAACTTTGGTCAAAATGAAAAAAGCAAGATGCTGGAGACTCACCGTGTCAAGATACATCTTGATTTGATGCGGAGGAGGAGGACGAGGCGGAAGACGAGGATGAGGAGGAATGAAAGGAAACGGGGTCGGCTGAATATTGGATCCCACTCCGTCTCCTTTTGTGCTTGTAGTTCATCCCTCTCTCTCCTCCATTACATGCTATGGGAGGGAAGACGAGACTTGCTCTTAAATGCTGCAGTTTTCCTGGTTGCAGTGTCACTACAAGGAAAGGATACTTACGTGCATGGAGATGAACTCGAACTTTGGTAGTGGCAGTGATGCGAGTTGTGAATGGGGTATGGCTGCTACTTGCAGAATTGCAACTACTTCCATAATCACCACTGCTATCCGTATTGGAAGATGGATTAATGCACGATCCCGCATCAGGAGCGCCGACCTGCGCCTCGACCACCAGCTGTGGCTCGACGACGATCTCGTGCGAGCTATGCAAAGATGTAGGCTCTTCGGTGATGGTGGACAGGGAGAGCTGAGACGGCCGTCGTTTTCCTGAGTCTTTCCCCCCCTTGTCCATACTCCCCAGGGTCGACGGTGGAGGCGGCGGCAGGAAGTGCTTCGTCTTGGTGCAGCTCGGTGCCTTCTTGAAATCGTCGGCCAGGACATCCATCACGCACCAGTCCATGTTCCCATTTGCCTGTAGACAAAAATGGACGAATGTAACGAATGGCATAAATGCATTCTCCGACTCAAAGAATCGCGAGAACTCTCCAGCAGCCCTCACATGGAATTCTGGAGGAGGACCGATGAGGGAAAGGATCACGGGCAGGATAAAGCCACTTATCAAGGCACTCAGGACCACCAGGACTAGAAGCACCACGAAAAAGTACCTGCAGAAATTGAGAAAATAAGCATTTAACGATCGAGTCGCAGTCGCACCATCTCGAAACCGAAATCATGTCACGGATGCCAACCGAACGATGAAGTCGAAGGGAGCCGTGCCGAGAAGAGCGAGAGCGAGAGCAGACGACACGTGAGCGTGAAGAAGCGGAGGACCCAGCATCTGAAGGGCGAGGCTCGCCCTTCGCACGCGACCCCCGACTCCTGATACGAACCCCAGAATGAAGAGACACACTGAAGGCCCTGCCATTCCCATGGCAAGGGAAAGCGTGGCGGCGGGGACGGCGCTGAGCCGGAGGCCGAGGAGGACGCTCATGGCCCCCCAGAGGATGGCCAGAACCCCGATCAACACCGCCGCTGCTACCCCGGCGACCCAGAAGGACCCCAACATGAGGCCGAGGGTCAAGGTCACACCACCGATGGCACAGGCCAAGGCCACAGCCAGGTAACCGTGAAGACCCACGTACTGTTCCCAGAAGGTGAATGGAACTCCGCTGGGAAAGTTGGGCAGTCCACGTGCCTGGAATTCATCACAGATTTCACGCACCTGCAAAAAAAAATAGCTGTCACAACTCCTCAGACCCTCATCGCGAAAGATTTCGACAAAGATGTACCTGAATGACGGTGCGTGTGACGTGGTCCGAATCCTCCAGATTGGCAAGGTAAAATGGGATTTGAGCAAAGCGAATGGGCGGAGACTTCGGGATACGAAGATCGGTCTCCCTTGGGACGTGATACCACGGCCTCGGCTGTGGGACGATGGAAGCTTGGGAGAAGGAAGCCGCCAACGCATCGTTCCCCACCCAGGCACTCAGGTAGTTATAGAAGGCCGGAGAGTAGATGATGCCATCGTGGTCCACTAAGCGGACGCGAGTCAGCTGACCGCGGTCCACGGGATTGTCCACGTGTCCGGTTTGTACTAGGAGTTTGTAAGCGAGGATACCATCGGAAGAGGCATTGTCGTGCCATCGCTCCTCTGTGATTGCACCACGGGACCAGTCCTCGTCGAATGCCCTCTGAAGGTCTGATGGGAAGAGAACAGCCAAAAATGAGTCTCAGCGATTATGTAAGCCTATAAGCTTCGTCCGAATTAAGCCTAAGCAGAAGTTGCTCTGAATTGACTATATACACTGGCAACATAATTTTAAGCGTTCCTCAGTGATCTTGAGCACAGAAAAATTGTTGAACTTCTCCCATGGTCTCTTACATCATATCATACTTTCTAGTTTCGACGCCTAGCTTTGGGAGAAGCTTGAATGCGATTGCTGGAGGCCTTGCAACATGCTATTCAAGAGATTTCCAATGGTTCGCTCTGAAATCAAATCACCAACAAACTACTAGAAGAAAGACCAGATGAGCAAGGTGTTACAAGTTCTCCCCCAAGTCAAGTGTGTTGAAGAGTTTAATTTTGACGTCCATTCTTGTGATTTACCGCACTTTATCGCCCTGAGAGCCCACGAGGGTCCAATTACAGGATTTTACGAACATGGAATCACACCGTCGAATACGGAAAGCAGAAAAACGGGACAGACCTCTAAGCCAGTCCCTGAACAGCTGGAGCCAGAAGGGAGGCAAACCCCCGTCGTCGTTCTTGATGATGGCCTCGACGGCGACGAAAGCAGCATGGTAGTCGTGGAGCAACCGCTGCTGCTTTCCGCCGGGATACTCGAACCCTGCGCCCGTGATCCCGTACATGTTGTAGAAGCCGAAGTACTCTGCCTGGGCGTGGAGGAACTCGTGCTCGGCCGCGTGGCGCGGGATGACGTCAGTGAGGGACAACCCGGTCCTCATCCTGGCACTGGCCCACACCCCGGCACTGACTAGACACAGGAACACGCATGCCACCAGGATCCGCACACTCTTCCGCATCACAAACGGAGCGTAGACTCCGGCGATGAAATCCCCGAGCGAGAACGACCGCCGAGACCCAGTCCCGGTCCCGATCCCGGCGTCCGCTTCGAACATCATCTCCTTGGACGTCTTCGGCCGCTCGCGTCTGCAGAGCAGCAAGGCAGCGATGGCAGGGAGGACGAGGAGGGAGGTGAGCGTGGTGAGAACGAACACGATGGCGCATTGTAGGCAGAAGCTGCGGATGGCCGGGAGGGGAATGAGAGCCCCCCCGAGAAATCCCCCGATCCCTCCCAACCCCATCACGAGCAGGGGGAATCCATAGCGTTTCATCGTCTCTCCCATCCATCTCTGTAAGGAAGGCGAAAGCAACCGGGTTCGTCTCATTTCAGTGACAGAAGAATGGATGCAGGTTCCAAAGACAAAAAAAAAACCTCCCATCCTGTCCTTGGTACTCTACTACCCCCCTAGTACTCCTGTCCTCTGTCACGTGCCCTTTCTGAGCTGAATGCTAAGCAGTGTAACCCCCTTCATTTGTCTCTCGCGACGAATGAACCCCATAAAGTCCTACTTCTATCCTTACGATGCTCATACGAGCAGTATTTGTAAAAGAATTCGCATTCGGTACAAGATACACACAGCCACTCCTCGAAGGAAACGGCTGGGGATGGGAACTGGAGTGGAAGACTCCAACTGCATCACAAACAACCTGTTATATATAACGAGAAAAGAAACCGCCTTGGGGGGCGAAGCCCGAAAGAAAAGACGTCCCTGCAGGTCCCATCAATCAAAGAACCCACCGATTCTTTCCAGGGGCACGGGTGTCAAAAAAAGAGGAATTCAATCAGGTGTGCGCGTATGAGATGGGAAGAAAGAAAAGGCAAGGGAAAGTCGGAGGGGGGCCGATGGAAAAGCGAGGGAGGGAAGAGATGTTTTCAAAGCGGGGGGAAAAGAGACGTCAAAAGGGCAAAGGAAAGAGAGAGAGAGAGAGAGAGAGAGGTGACAATGGCGGGACAAACAACTATATAGCAGAGGGAGGGGATGTAACTCACGGAGACAGGGATGGATGTATTGCTCTGCAGGTGATGCAAAGTGAAGAGGAGGAGGTAGAGACCGTCCACTCCAACACCCAGGCACAGGTAAGGTACAATCTAAATTCACAATACACGAGTTGACACTTCACTCCAGAGGCACAAGAAAGGGAGAAGAAATGAATTAAGCTATTTGTAAGAGCAGCAATGAGCCTCGGTTCAGTGAAATAAACAAGTATTCAAAATAAGCTATGTCGACATGCCATCTTTACTTTTTTATATTTAAAATTGAATTATACACGGAATTGCCTTTCGTGTAATATTAAACGTTACCACCCCTTGCAACGGAAAAATACTGATATTAACAGATTAAATGAACAAAATAACGGCCTTTACCTATTGAGACAAGAGGAAAATAAAAGGAACCAAGACAAAGGCCAGTGGATTGGCAAGCCTCCTTCGTGGACACAACATAGACGATGCAGACAAAATAGAGCACATGGGGATTAGCAATCGCAAAGAAAAAATGACCCAATGCTGCTCCATGAGATTCTCCATTTATTTTTATATTTTTTCCCCCACAATATTAAAATTGTACCGAACCAAAAGCAATTCAAGTTTTCCTGAGTCGTGGTAAAATACTTTTGGGGGTTTGCCGCAGTGGTATGAACAAACGTTGGGAACTCTCTCGTTAAGAACCTCATGAGGAGGAACTCTTTTTTTTGAGGGGCACTTGCAAAAAAAAAAAAAAGCAACTCACCTGGGTGGTGGTGGCATTGAAGGGGATGGCGAGGAGGGCCGCGAGTCCGAGGCCGGCGGCAACCGCGAATCCGATGGCGAGCACGCCGGTGAGGCCGATCCAGGCGAGCCTCAGGGACCAGGTGACGGCAAGGGTGTAGACGAGCATTCCCACCACTCCCAGGCACAGCCGGACGGGGGACACGTCCGAGAAAGAGCTCAGCAGCGTGTCCAGAGAAGAGGAGGAGAAGTAGAGGATGCGACCGCCTCCCGGTCCCGATCCCCGTCCCCTGAGACTAAGGAAGGCCTCCAGTTCCGCCTGGAACTCCTCCCCCCATTTGTTCAACACGGCACGGGCCTTCTCTACGCTCCACTCCATGTTATGCACCTTTTTAACAACAAAGACTTTTAGAATTCCAGAAGCCCCTCGAGGTCCATATCCTGCTCCTGCAAGCTGCGCAGAGGCCAATAACCTACCAACTAAGAAAGTCATTTGCTCAGCAGAGTTACCAGGACAGGAGTCAGTCAGAGCAGGAATTTTTTTTTCAGCAAATAGCCAACGGAAAGATTTTACACTCAAATGCTACGGGAAGAAACTTCACAGCGAACCCCAGAGAAAATGGTTCATCCCCAAAATGCCTACGAAAAAAGTTTTCAGCCAATAACCCAGGGAAACACTTTAGACAATAGTCATGGATATGAGACTTCATTAGTAAATTGGCAATAAGAATTTTCTCCGAGGCAATTGTCTATTTAAAAATAACCGTCATAACCAACTGGCTGCAAAAATTGCCCGTTCAGCCCTGAGACTCGGGGCAAGGTTGCCCCGAATACCCCCATTCATCCATAAAATAAAAATATATATATGGGTGGCGAAAGAGAAAAGATTACTATTAGTACCTTGTACATATCAGACCAGTATTCAAAGAGGTCTCGTTCCCCCATGAGCTGAATGACGGACTGGATGGCTTTGGCCTTGCGAATGTGGCCCGTCCGATTCTTTTCGAAGCCGCCGACCACCAGCTGCTCCGGCCAGTGCATGTAATGAGTGGCAAAGCCATAGCAGCCCCCCGTCAACTCTGCCCCCACGTCCGGGGATCCCTTGTCCTTGTTCGGGGCCGTCGGAGGGCATTCGGGATCCTCAGGATTCAAACAGGGCTTTTCCACGTATCCCGACGTGATCCCGGCCCGCTTCAGAAAATCCGTGAGGGTGTCGTAGGGAAAAGGGAGCTGCAGGTTCTTCAGTTGATCCAAGAGGATTCGGGGGTGAAGGCTCTTCCACTGCACACCCGTCGCGACCCCCCTTTTTTTTTATCGAGAGACAAGGGGGAAAAAATAGTTCAATTTGAGGGGGCATTTTCGCGCGGAACCGGTTCTATATACAAATGGGAAGGAGTCATTCTTACGGGACGGAGAGAGGGAAAGCCGGTCCGAGGAGTTTGGATCCTTCCCAGAAGCAGTCAAGAGGGGTGATGATGGCACAGGGCATGAGGCCTTCGAGGATCTGGTCAATGTAGAAGGCGTCGAAGCTGGGCACGGACGGGGCCACGCACACGTCCGTCAGCTTCCACGTCGCATCGAACAAATCCACCGTGACGCGTGTCGCGATCCTCAAGGCCTCCTGGTGCAACAGCAGCTCTCCGGGACTCAACACATTGTTGTTGGGGAAGACCTGGATGAGGATGTGGTTGATGCTCCCCGATCCCTCCCCCAGGCTCTCCTCCACGTACGACAATTCCCTCGCCAATCTCCCACCCTCTGCGAGCGGATGGTCACACGTTACGGATTCGCACAGACAGCTTCCGTCGAGACAAAGGACACGCAATTCGGGTCCACCGTTGACCCCTGATCTCGTAGGACAAAGGGCGGGAGGGGGGGGGGGGGGGAGAGAGAGAAAGAAAAAAATTCGCCCTCTGCCCCCCCCCCCTTTTTTTAGTCTCACGCTTCTCTATTACCGCTGTACCGGTGGTCATGCAACTAGACAATAAAAAAGCTAATTTCCACGGGAGATTCTTTTTTTCACTCGACGCCTCCTGTCCATGACCACTTCGTATTAGTTTCAAGGGGATGGCAAGTTGACAGGGTGTACCATTAACCGTCGGAAAGAGAAGGGCGAATGCATACCAGTAAGCTTGATGATATTCTTGTATTAAAAAAAAATACTGATAATTAAGTGCGCAAGTCTGTACTCATTATCAGCATAAGTACAATTAGCAACAAAAAAAAAACTTAAGGAAAAATAAAGGGGGAATTGCGGCCATGAAGAGACTCGACCTCACATCATACGAATGGAAGAGCGAAGATAATTGGAGCTATTGAAAGCGGGAGCTTGCCTTGAACCCAGAGGGCGTTGAGGTCGGTGAGAAGGTGGGAAGACTTGAGGCCGACACAGAGAGTGGCAAGGACGAGTAGGGAGACGAAGAGGGATTTCCCCGCGTGCCTCCCCAAACATCCACCGAGTCCTCCCAGTTGAGCGTGCCACCACGCCCTAACCACAAGGGACCACATGTTGCTCCCTTCTCCGACCCCTCCATCTCCGTTGGTCTGCGAGGAGAGATACGCCATACATACATTGTCATTAAAGGTGAGAGGAGAGACAAAAAGGGAAGAGAAAGCCCTGGAATGGTGGGAGGGAGAAAAAAGAAAGAACCGGAAACGCACGCCTTCTCACTTCCTGCTTTCGGCAAGAGGGGAGAAGGTGCCGACGACAGATTAGAACCTGCTGCTTCCATCACCTCCGCCCAGCCTAACCTACCACTAGCGCAGACCGTCTCAAACAGGCCTGCATGCGCTGCACGCGAAGAAAAGGAAATAGCGGAATCTCACTTTTCTGATGTGAGCTAAGGCCCGAGGAGCGTCCACCCAAGTGGGCCTGGTGAGAAGCAAAGGATCGGGGATATCGCATGGGTCCTCGGGATCCTTAACGTTTCGCACATGCTGCTGCTCGTCACATTCACCTGCACGAGTCTGCTTATCTGGGGGTCCGGGGAACTCGGGCATAATGAGCGGGAATGATCAGCGTGGACCACATAGCGAACACGGCATGGAACACGGTCGGATGCGGAACGAGGACTGACTGAATCGAGCGAGAGAGAGGGAGGCACGAGAGAGGAAAGGAAAGGAAGCGAGCGAGGGAGAGGGAGAGCGATGCCAGCGTCCTCTCTCTCGCCATACAAAACTCAAACGGCCATTGGCTGCGTAGGGCTTGCCAAACAACGACCTCAACATAGTGGACCACACAGGAAGAGTTGCCGGACCTTGCAACCGCCTCCGCTTTTTCAGCTTCATTCCATCACCCTTTGCTTTGGTGCGTTCCATCCGGTTCGTCCTTGGGCCTCGCATTTGGTGGAATCAACTTCTCACTTCGCCCACGATAGAAATGCCACATTTTCGTGACCACGACTGCTTACGCCATCGGAGGTGAATTCCATCGTCTCGGTCTTTCGCCGTGGAGGGACGAAGGCGGGATTCCGAGGGAGATGAAGAGCGGAGATAGGAGCGGGTGTGTTGCAAGGTCGGCGAATATTCCGGTAAACGAGCCTTGGGGTGCACGGGAGAGCCGTGGGTGGTCCCACTCTTCTGCCCTGTCCCCCCGGCTCTCAACTAAAGGAATACGAATATGCCATCTTTTCCTCCCCAGCCTAGACCTTGGCTCCCCTACTTTCTTTCTCCTCTTTTCGGTGCCAGAGGGGAGAGAATATGCTAGCGCCGCGTTCGCCGAAAGACGTGAAACGAATGGCACGCACGCGCATTTGGCATGATGTAGCGCCCATGTCTTCAGATAAGGATCCGGCCGTGAAACAGAAGGACGTAGACGAATGGGAAGCGATTGAAAAATCCCACAGACGGAAAGAGATCGTCCTGCCACATGAAGGATGGGAAAGTGTGTCGTTGGGACGTCTTCCATCCCGTCGTTCGCTTTGTGACAAGATTCCGACCCTGGAATGTAAAGCGATCCGTAGCAGTCGTGGCTCATTTTTGTGAAGAATGAAGGGACGCGATGGAAGAAAGGAAATAGAATGGGCAGGCGAGGGGGAAGAATGCGTGCCGAGGGGCATGTACACTCCCACCATCTACCGAATGAATCCGAAACTCGTGGTTCCCCCTGCACAGTAAAGGTGACAGACTTTCCCCTCCAAAATTGGCGTCTAATCATACGTTACGGTGCATTGTCTCTGCCTCGACGCCCCGAACAATTCGGGAACTTATAATCTAAGTAAGGGGTTTTCCCGGCGCGGCACGAGGCCTCGGAGCAGAATCTTGCTGCAACGAAGAGAATTCTCATCCTTTCTCGCCTTCCTTCGTGCGACAGAGAAGCGAGAGAGTTGGAAGTGTTGTTTGAAGAAGGAGGAAAGAGATGCGTTGATGGAAGTGAGACATGAGAGGAGACCACCCAGGCAGACCACAGGGGAGGAAGATGAGACCACCCAGGGAGTGCGGGCCCACCCACCGCGATGACACCGAGGGCCACCCGTCAAAAATCCGACCTCACCTTGGTGTTCGGAGTCGTCTCTTTATTTTTTCAACCGTCTCCCCCGGGGGCATCGATCGATCGCGATCTTTATCTTTTACTTATAAAATGGATGGGTCCAAGTTGGTGAATTGGGCCTTCGCTACCATTCGCGACGGACAAAAATTCAATTCCATTGTTCTGCAAATGAAATTTAGAGAAGTTCCCAAAGCAAAAAAAAAAAAACAAACTTTCGAATTAAGGAACTTTTGCACACGAGGTTGTGTCGAGTCTTGTCTATATAGGTTCTTCGCATTTTTTAAATCAGGGATATACATCCTACCCATCACCATATTTTCTTTCAGGATGACTACCAAATAATACGTGCCCTATCAGGGCAACACTAATTTCCCCCGAGTACAATTGCATAATTAGGTTTCACTCCAGCCAATCGTACCTTCCTCAAGTGAGCAAATTTGAGGAGAATTAAAGATTATCGAATCTGAATCACGATTCAATTTGAAAATTGAATTGTCGATGAAATCGAGGATTCGCGTTTCGAATGAGGTTGCATTCCAACTAGATGTGAACGATTCGTATTGGATCTGGGATACAGAAAGTACGAAGATCCGAGCTCTCCACCCTTTGGATGCTGGATTGCACCTGTATTGAAGAGCGCGGTTGCATTTGAAAATATCCTATTCCCACCCGTCGATCTGTTGTGCCTGCTGCGGTTTCAGGAACACAAAATTCAAGAAAAGCTTGCTGAACGGTGGCAGGAAATGAATTCGAAAGGATAATACAATTCCATCGCATTCGCAAGTCGAAAGATTCGATTCGAGTTTGAGTCATTCAATGCACAAATTTGTTACATTCTCGTCCATGGTTTGATTCAAACTTACGGGAGAGTCATCATTCGCTGTAAGAATCGTCGCTTCAAACCGGTGGTGATTCGGATTTGATTCGAGTCTCATAAAAGTCTGATCTGGCTATCTCTGGGAGAAAGAGAACTAGAAAAACGATATTTCCGACGCAATGCCAAGATGTCCCCTCTACTTTGGCTAGACATCCTGCCGCCTCCTTTGAAATACTTGGGGTGACACGACGCAGCCGAGATCACAGCAAACCACCGTTGTTTTATTAGATGAACTATCTTGCCAGGAACTATCCATTGGCCGAGGATGGAAGACTTGAGATGGCGATTCAAGTGCAGCTCTATCTTGAATCTCGGTGGTGGTTATTTCTGTATGGAATGATGGGAAGTGGACGATCTTAATTGGTGCTGCTCGGTGATGGAAGTTTCGGTCTGGCACGCGGGAGACCGAGATTCGAATTCGTCCCGCGGCGGACCCATTCCTCTTGGGCCGACAGTTCACACTGATGCTAAAGAGTTCCACTTGCTCTCCCCGAGGCTCAACCATCGGTTGCTCTGTGGTTCATAGCGTGAGAAGTTTGGTGCACCTCTATGGCACCCACTACATCAGCCCTTTGTCGGCCAGATGAACAGTGATGGATGAGCCTACCGCCTAGGCGGCGTTGAAGATTCCATCACCTTTTTCGGGACCGTGAAAATGAGGTAAGCAACAGAACGAAAGAGGCCGTACGGAGGTGTGGCAATGCCGTCAGAGGTGTTCGATAACAATCACCTTTCCTCTACTGCATTCAGACGCTTGAGAAATTTGCCTTTGTCTGTGTGTGTCTGTCCCAGTCCTTTTATTTAGGGAAAAAAAAAAGACTGACGTCCATCTGACTATGGCGAGGACGGAAGCAACATTAGCTGTCACATGTTCAGATCCCGTGACTTCCTTATACAGTACTCGAGGTGCCTAGGAAAGCGACTTATCCATTCCATCTTTAGAACATCCATCATACTGTATTCCAGCGGTTCTCAACTGGTGGGTCGCGACCCGGGGTATCGCCATGTTCTTACTGGTCACGTTCTTTTCTTACCTCGACAGGATCAAGGAGGCGAAAAGCAATAGAATAATAAGTGGATAAATCATAAACAGCGATAAATGAGAAAGGCCGAACTGGAGTTAGATGTTCCCGCACACGAGATTACATTTTTTGAAAAGGGTCACCCTCAAAATCCAGACAAGAAATCAACACAGGAGGACAAAAATGAGAGCAGCTTGCGAGCAGACATTCCCATGGTAAGGCAAAAAGGAATGACTCGATAATTGAAATTAACTCTACCCAATGAAAAATCTATCATCAGCACCAGAATTGCAGCATTTCCATATTATTCCTGATGGAAACTCGACGCGAATGAACCTAAACGCCTAAAACTTAACGCAACCCCATATAACTTGTCGTATCTCTTCGTGCGATCTCAATCCGAAGACGGATTGAGACTGTAATACTGCTTAACACAGTACTTTGGACTAAGTCAGGAGCACTGTGCCGCACTCCGATGGCTGAGGTTCGAATCAGGGTTCAAACCATGTCAATGGTAGCTCGCAACGAAGAAGAACTTACTTGAGCAGTCATTAGAGACAGCTGTCTCGTCGCTACTATCTGATATCTCGTCCCGAATTCGATACTGGTGAATACATGGACCAGCCATGCAGAACGTTATTGACATTAACGCTCAAGGTTCATGTCCAGTTTTCCAATTCAACGTTTGGCATTCGCTTCTGACCCTTTGGTTTGCCACGAATTTGGGGTTCATCCTTTCAATTTCAACCCTTTCACAATTTCAATCTTCCCAAGTTCATTTTTTTCACAGGGAGCCGAGATTTGTGATGGATCACATTCTGAGTTCGGATCAAACGCTTTGAGTAATTAATTGACAATCGTGATTTCAAATTGATATATATACAGGGTGGGCCAAAAAAAAACCAAAGCTGTCATTTTTGGTGAGTCGTCAATCTCATTGTACGATAATAATTCTGGTTAAATTTGATAGGCTTATAGGGTGACTCAATTGGCGTTTTAATGCCGAATTTCAGCCTTCTGGCTCTAAAATTATAGGAGCTGTAGTTATTTTCTGATGAGCCACGACAAAATTTGCTGTCGAAAATATCAATGTGAACCTGAGGCCAGGATGAAGGGGAGGGCGAATTCATAACCTTCCATCCCTGCATGATGCTATAGAGGAAGATTGAGAAGCACTGCCTCAAAGATTTATTGACCGAGCCATTGACCTGTGGCGTTCCAGACTAGAGGCTTGTGTTCAACAGAATGGAGGCCACATGGAGCACCTTTTGAAGTGAACCTACCTAAATCAAACTGTTTTTGGCATTTGTGCATCTTGTTATCGTTCTGTTTCTTTGCTTGTTTGCTTTGTCAGTTGTAAGAAATTGTAAATTAAAATGAATTAAAAATGTTAAAATGTTAAGTTTAAATTAAAAATGAACATTTACTTTTTTGGAGATGAAAAGTAAATGAAATGCCATTCTCATAGTTTTTGAAAATTTGATTTGAAATATGGCACACCAGCTCCAATTGAGCCACCCTATATGCCTACCAAATTTAATCAGAATCGGCTGCCTACAATCAGAATGACATCTCACCAAAAATGATAGCTTTGTTTTTTTTGTTTTTTTTTTTTGCCCATCCTATAGGGTAAAAGACCCAGTGATGGGTCTTTTAATGGCGGGTACTCAGTGATGGACCACTTCGTAGG